TTTGTTAAATTGCATCCAGAATATTTTCAATCCCTAAAAAGCCAAAGACAACGTGATAGAATCCACGCAACGCCCCACACAAGTGCGCTTTTTAATAAAAATATCCTCGGTATGGCTCCTAGAATATTTAACAAGCTCCCAAAAAATATTCGTCAAATATGTGACCTATGTAAATTTAAACGTGATCTAAAAGCGTTTCTGATTGAAAAAACGTACTACAGCGTAAATGACTTCCTCTTTGACATTATTTAATGACATTTGCTATAGTATTTGTTACTGATTCACTGAAAATGGATATATATATGTACATTTCTTTAGATAATACTGGATTATTGATTTGACATAATTTAAAAATTCTGCGATTTTGCTCAGGTACTGATATAATTTAGGATTAAGAGTTTTTATTTTTTATTTATTAATATATGACAATTCAATACATATTTGTTGTGTTTAGAGTAATTAATTTGTATGAAATATTTGCACACCTGAAAGGGTAGTATACAGAGGCCAAAACTAGTATATAAGATCTTTGTATAACCTGTAATACGCAAATAAACAATTTGATTTGATTTGATTTGATTTGAGATTATTCTATGATATAATGTTTGTATAATCTGCAAAAAGGTTTTTCGGAGTTTTTTATGTATAATATGTATGTATTCACAGTTTACTGCTTAGTTTGAAACTAGGTGTGTGTCAGTTGTCTGAAATATTTATTTACTAATTCGTTTGCCAGGAAGTTCCTTATATATTAAATCTACAGTCATGGCTGTCATAAAAACAAATGGCAATATTTTGTTACTCTTTGTCACGAGATGTAAACAAAACTGGCAATTATTATACGGGACTGAAACCTAAAAATGTTTTGAAGTTTAGACTTTCGGTAACAACGGCAGTACTAGACAATGTCTTTATACAATTATTAATTGTTGCAGAACGTGTGTTGATCTTAGACCTCGTAAGTTATTTTAACAATTTTCACAAACTCTTCATTTTTAATACTTTAACATTATTTTCTTAAACATTTAGAACTTAAATAACTTACCAAATAAAAAAAAATAAAAAAAAAAATCCCACGGCATTTTTGAACAACGAACAAAAGAATGTATTTTTTGAGATGGGAAAAAAAACCATTGAACTCGCGGCACTGTTACCGTTACCGACACTTCTGTATAAAAGTATCTACATATATTGGCCCTGTTTACACGAGAGTTGAGTTTGGGTTGAAATACATTGATAATATAACTATACAAAATATAAACACATATTGTGTATATACTTACAAAATTACCAATTAAAAAAAAATAAAAAAAAATCCCACGGCATTTTTGAACAACGAACAAAAGAATGTATTTTTTGAGATGGGAACAATGTGGTAGAATATTATTATTATTATTATTATTCATGTCGGAACTTTTCGAATCGAAAAAAACAAAAAAAAACCTGTTACGATTATACTCAATAATTTTAAAATTTTGAAGTTATCACTTCTGTCGGCACTCCCGGAGTGCCACTGTTTTCCTTTCAAAATTATAGGCAGCATTATCTACTTGGGATGATGTTAGGATTCAAGCAATACCCCATACATTCGAATTTGTTCAGTAATTAAGAAGTTATGGTGGCAGGCCCCTCTTTCCCACTGGGCACTCTGGGCACGTTCCCAGGGCCCCTCGATCGATAGCGGCCTGATTCCTGCCAGATCACCAATCGAAATCAATATTTATCACCGAAAAACATAATTATTTCGAAAAATCCATTTGTAATGACTGATGATGATACAATACTTTTTTGTCCATTCTAACAAAATAGTGCGTAGGGGCCCCATTATGCTAATTTGCCCAGGGCGTCCAACAGGCTAGAGACGGGTATGTATGGTGGTAAGAAAAAGATATAGATAAAGAAACTCACGTATATTTATACATTGCTCTGAAAACATTACACTTGTAGTTTGGAAAGTTGTGTATTTTTTTGCAACTTTGACTAAAAAGAATAAAGAAAGTTAGTAGTAGTAGTAAGTAGGTATGTAGTAGCCTGGCAGGTACACGCTTCACACTATTTTCGCTCTTATCACTGCCTATTTGCTGAGCAAACAAATGAGCAAGTCTTATAGCCCGTTTGATCTGTTTACGTTATAACATCGTAATGCTGTTTAGATCGTCAGAACTATTTATTACAATGTTACAATACTACATTTTATACAGATATGAGTTTAATCGTGTATCGAACCTGTTTAGAACGGGAAAAGATGACGTACCTACCTAGATTAGGTTTTTAAATTTTTCGGTCTGTGACCGTAAAGTAGAAGTGAATTTATTTTTTCATTCTATTTTGAAAAACAAGTGGGTCGTAACTCGCAAGCACCATAGTATTTTATTTGATCTTTTTATGAGCAATTTTTGCTTGACGTTTTCATGCCATAAAACTATTATTACGAGGACTTAACGTACCTGGTTTATTTCGCGTACCTGTCATTGACGTCGCGAAAACAATCAATCAATAGCTATTACTTAAAATATTTTCTTTTTCACTCACTCACACACTTTCTCACTCTACCCAACAACTAAACCAAATATTGTATATTAAGATATATATTTATAATTGTTAATTTCATAATGATATGAATGTAAGTACATCAGAATAATTCTACTATTCACATTTTATCCTTCTAAGCACAAAAAAATACAGTAAAGGTATATATACAAAATTACATTTTATACAGATGTGAGTTTAATCATGTATCAAAATTGTTTGGAACGGGAAAAGATGACGTATATACCTACATCAGGTTTTTACACTTTTAATTAATCCAGCTAAGCTGTAATGCTTGTGTTAGGAATAGGTGTACGTCTAGGAGGGACCCGAATGTCTTAATGACAGCTGTTCCAAGATCCTCCTATTTCAGGCGCAAAGTGACACACCGCCCCATTGTAAACCCTAGTGGGTTGATGGCCTTTGGAGGTTAAAAAAAAGGAATAGGTATACGTCGATAGTAGGTGGGGTTCGAACCAACCACTTGATTGCAATCCGACGAAGCAATTGATAAAATCTTGTCAAACACTAAATAAATTATAAATTTTACGGTTAAATAACACTTGTTTGGCACATGCTGTCTTTAAGTTCTCTCTCTCTGTTCTCCATCAGCAAACTTTTTCCAAAATCCAGACTGTGACTTGTTTGTAGATGGATGGCAGACGATTATGCCAGTATGTCTGGTGTACTGTGAAAAGTTTGAATGTAAGAAGTAGAGTAGTTTAATATTGTAAATAGATAAAGTTGTTGTAAAGTATCGTTTATTCTGTGTTCTGTGTTAATCAGTGTAAGTGTCCAGAGGCCGTTCTGATTAAGAATAATATAAATAAAACGGGAATATGGGCTTCCCCGTAGTTGCCCAATGGTAACAATTGGGTGAACCACGGGGAATGTTTTTGTGCCTAAAACCGTTAGTTAAAAACAAGAACAGAATTTATATAACCAAATACCACATACCATAGTAATACGTATTGATCTAACTATTACTCGTAGTCGCAAAGCTTCAGTTACCTACCAGGCGAACTGTGTGCTTAATATGTTGTTTATGATTGCTTGATTACGTATATAGTATAATAGTTAGGTATTATTTAAAGGAAAATACTAGGATAAATTAACTGTTTTATGTTATGATTATTTATTTTTCTTATTAGATTTAATATGTACTCGTATTATGTATTTAAGAAAGCGTAAGCAGTAGAAACCCTGTCTGTCTATACACTTATAATGTTTTCCATAAGTCGAGACTTATCATTGGCTGACACATTGTTTTATGGTTTACTAAAATGTTAGTTTAGCTGTACGTCTTCCAAGTTCGTTAAATAAATAAATAAATTTAAATAATAGCTTATATTTGTATTTTTTACTTAAGTTGGATGGTAATATTTACTTTTATAGATATCTCTATTGGTAAATCAAACTGGTTAATAGTAAATCAAACACTTGATGATAAAAAGTTCGTCATCGTATGGAGTATACAGTATGCTAATTATTATTTCTTATGGTATACGAAGGCAAACGACCAGACGGGTAAGTAACTATCGCCACTCATGGACACCTGCAACTTAAGGGTCACAAGCCTCCCCCCAGAATCAGGGGAAAGAGGGATTTAGGCTTCAGTAACCTTGTGGAGGAACGGGTGTCATGTCCCTCCAACACAAAGGGAGGATCCTCCGACCAGGCGAGGTGATCATGCCTGTCGGGCCGCGGCCCAACAGTATTTATATATTTAGCTACTTGGAGTTGATCTTGTGATGAATGCCGGAGATAGACAGCATAACTCTTCAGTGGCTACTAGTTTATACTTCAAATTCGGGCTTATAGTATTCGTTTTGATTAGCGCAACAGATTGTTATCAATGGTCTGACGATGAAGCCATAAGGTGGACAGCGGAACTCTTTTTACTTTTTATTATCATTCGCCAGTGTTTTTTTTAGTTTTATGTACTAAACGAACAATAATGGTAATTTATTTCAAAGTGAACTAAAGAGATAATGTGATACTACTCCAAACACACACAACATGCACACACACACGCACGTTTAAAAAAAATGTTATACCATTTGCAATTTATTTATCATACTGGTTTTTACCACTTAAGTTTATTCTCAAATGTAACGCTAAGAAGGGCGCTATCTCTCGAGATACAGATGCTTCACCTAGTTCGAGAGATTGGGTCTCAGACGGTTGTAGGCAATTATCTTGAATAAATGAATTATTATTATTATATTCAGTTTTATTATTTCTATTAGTTTATTATCTTATAATATGTAATACTACCAAGCTGGCAGCTATTGAGGCTGACTTTTTCTTACACCTTGATAAAACAAACAGCCAAATCGCCGCTATTTTTAAAGTGATGTGCCGATTTTTTAAAATAGATCTCTGTCTCGCGTAAGAAGAAAAACGAACATTGGCATTATAAGTAAAACCTTGAGTCAATGTTTGAAAATTAAAAAAAAATATATACTTACGTCATTTCTACTTTTAAGGGTGCTTCTTTTAGGCCTAAGCAACACATCCTTAAAGTCTAATTTAACTTCATTAATAATATTAGGCATTTTGTCACTAAACACAAGTGTTTTCGTAATACGAATTGAATTAGAACTCGAGCGAACGCGCGATACTTCCCGCGCGCAATATCGACTGGCGAATGCAGACGATGTTGCTATTCCTTATAATAATTTCCCAACCAAAGATAAGGAAATTTAAAATTATATATAAGTCACATAACGTCTATAACGTCTAGAAAACGCTTACAGGCATTCACTCATACATAACTGTACCTACTATAATCTACCGAAGGTTTCTTGACCTGAAGTTACGTAGTCCTATATAAATAATATGCCTGGCACATTTCCCTAACGTGCCTTTCAAATATTTACGTTTCACAAATTCCAAATATCGGTAAATCTGTAAAATTATTACATAATATATTCACAAGATCAATTATTACCATTATTTATTAAATTGCACAAGTATATCAATAGTGACACTTCTAAAAATAATTTGAGAAATACCCATACCTATTAACATGGGGCGGAGAACTGGCGTCTTAAAATACAAGCCCATAGCTTAGTTCAGGCACCAGTCTCCCACAATATTGTGTACCTACATTGATTTGCCTCATTTAGTCTTCAAGAACTTATATGTATACAAACATGTATTGTTGTGGTGCGAAATAAAGATATTATTATACATTATCAACAAATTGTAATATCACCAATAATTACATTACTTTGGGTAAAATTCTATAAGTGGCAACACTTATTCCGCAAGCGTGACACCAACGTCACGAGGGCGAACAGAAATACTCGCTTTCAGCCGCTAGGTGAAGGTTATGAAATGACCGAGGCGACGCTATTTTCCTACAAAAAACATTAGTTACACCTAAAACATATGCTTCTTTCTTCTACAGTCGGAGATATTTATAAATATTTCTAAAATAAAAAGTTGTAAAACGAAAGAAACAAAATATATCTATGTATGTTATTGACATAATAATCAGCTGTTACAATGTTTGCACATGCGCAATGCGGAAGATAATCTTGCCAAATGAAAACGACATTGGACAGTTGATCGAGGACAGTATAGCGAAATTTTTGTTTTATAGAGTATTCTTATCAGTAATAATCCTGATTATTCTTTAGCACTATAGAATAAAAACTATAGGTATTAGAAAATTAATTTTATAGAGACAAACACAGAATCCAGCTACTATTGGCTCACCAAGCCAACCGTACAGAGACGCACAAAGGACCATTCTTGAGTCTAAATGCGGCATCCGGAACCCTTCACAAATATTAATACTATGAAGTAACGATAATAATTGTAATAAATAAACATAAATATATAGGTACCTAAATGTAAATAAATAAAAATATACACAAACACTCACGCCTAAAGGAAATAAATATAATTTGTTAGCAATTAAGGGGAAGCCACGATCCATGTCTTCGTTCGAACATTTTGCTATGATGCCACACTGTTCTTTAGACGAAGTGCTATTTTCTCTAAAACATTTTAACATCTCTGAATAAGATTCAGATAGAAATTATTTGGATATTGGCAACATTAGAACCTTCTGTAAAATACCGACTGAACATATCGGCTTTGTTCCACTTTCACAGAATGTCCATATCAAAGTGGACGAAGTTACTGATTTAATATAAGGAGCATTTGCTGACAGGAAGTTATAAAAGCCACAGTTACGTCGTGACACTTGTCACGACTACTTAGGTACGTATGTAACTCTACAACGTTTTCACCAAAAGCTATAAAAACATAATTAAATTAAAAAGCCCCGACAAACATTTGAATTTTGTCATAGTGTACAGTATGCTACTAGTCAAGTCGTTTCATTTGATACACATATTGAGGGAGTTGTGAAAAAAATATGTAATCCGGACTAATCCGCCATTTTGTGGCAGGGCCATCTTATTTTTTTATTTATTGGGAGACCAACAGCCATAATAGTAGTGTATGACATAAAAATACGCAACATTAAGCCAATTACAGATCCTCACTCTTAACATCAAATTGCACAACAAGAACAGCAAAGTGAAGTGAAGAGAAAAACATTTTTAATTCTCAATAAATGAAATCAAAATCATGGCTAAAATTAAGAAGAAAATGAAGATTAAAACCATAACCAAAATCCAAACAAAAACCAATCAAAATCATAACCAAAATCAATCAAAATCAAAATCTCAATTAAAGTTAAACATTCTGATATTCTAAAAAGATTTCCTGACTAAGCACCCGCCTCATCGACACCAAGTTCGCATCGAATACGTCAAAGTTATGTAGCTTGTTTTCGCAGGTTTCCGCAGGTTTAGGGTTTTACTAGCTCGCCAGATAAAACTTTTCTGCCGATAGTTCAATGGCGCCAAAGGAGTATGATACCGTGCAGATTTTACAGGTACATTAATAGTAATTTTAAAAAGAAGTTCAAGGTTACTAACTGATAGGGATAGGATATATTCCTAATAAATAACGTCAGCAATATCGTCAGCACGTCGTCTTGACAAGGGAAGAAGATGAAACTTTGCACATAAAGTACTTTATAAATTTTATTTCTACGTTTTATTCTATTAGCGTATTTTTCATGTAGTTTATTCAATACCTGGGATCCGTATTTCAATAAATGACTAGTATAATATTTATAACCTAGAGCTCCCTTTCTTTACAATATTGTCAATGTGCTCATTGAAGAACAACTTTGAGTCATAGATAACGCCAAGATCACGAATACTATGACACCTTACAAGTTTCTGACCCTTCAGGTAGTACTCAAATAAGACAGTGTTCTTTTTTCTGGTGAATTTGTGACGGAGCACTTCAATGGTTTCAAGTCCAGTTTGGTTCTTTCGCAATAGTTTTCCAAACGGAGACTACATCTGCCTGGGAGGACACCGAGGAGCAAATTTTCATATCATCAGCAAAGCAAAGAAGCTTAGTTAAATGAAAGCACTCAATGATGTCGTTTACAAAAACTACGAAGAGCAGCGGACCCAGCAGTGAACCTTGTGGTACACCGCTGGCACGGTAGCCCAACCAGACATGTAACCGTCCAATGCCACCGCTTCAGATCGATTGAAAATATAAGATTGGAACCATCTCAACAAGTCTCTGCGTATGCCTACGTATGCCTGCTCTTGGACCGATTTTTATCAAACATAGCTAAGAAAACTCCCGACGAATTCATCTTTCAAAAAAAAAAAAACAAAATCAATATTGGTTTATCCGTTCGGGAGCTACGATGCCACAGACAGACACACACAGAGACACGTCAAAGCTGTAACACCCCGTTGTTTTAGCATCGGGGGTTAAAAAGATCCTTATACAATTTTTTTAAATCTACATTGATATTATTAGTCTGTGGAAGTTTATAGAAATAAAATACGAGTGTAACTTAATTTCCAGTTTTAATAAAACTTCATGTTAAATATAATTAATAGATGATTGTATTGTTTACAAATGGCGAGTAGGGGGTAGCGTAGTCGGACTGAAGTCTCCGAAGTCCTTCGTTGTTGTACTCAAGAAGGATACTGTAACAAAATTATATAAACAAGTTACTTTTATGCTGCTATTGCTACACTTAGATGGCAACATATTGTATGCCCCATTTACAAAATAAGTCAAAACATTCTCATGGAGGGTTTTATAAAAAAAAATTTTCTCTTCATATCTTTTACCTAATGTTTTAGTTAAGATATCATCAAAATGTTGACAGTTTTCAAAGGCGCAGTGTAGTACTTTCTCCTGCGAACTATTCGTTAAATAGGGCATGTACAGTACAGTACAGTACTAATAGGAATCTGACTTGCGATATCGATTCGATAAGCAGCGATTTCGATTCGCAAACCGTAAGTGCGCGGGGCCACTTTAATGCAAAGCGGCAAGCGCAAAACTATGCCTAACACTCCTTCAGAGATAACAGGGCTTCTGATGGTCGGTACTCTCTCATCGTTCTGGGCTTTACGGCGTCTAGTATCTTCTGTGAGATGGTACAATACTAGTCTTCTCCCGATGCAAATCTACATAAAACCCTCACGAAACAACATTTCGAAATCCGATGCACTTTAAATTCAAATATCGGAGAAATGAAAAAAAGTTGTTGTAAACTTGAGAAAAGAATATATAAAATGACGACACTAGGTAGTTAATTACGGATGGCCAGATGATATTCCTGTGTTAGTGGCCCCACCAATCAGAAGACGGACTTTTCGACTTAATGATTGTCATTCAGATTTCAAATCCGACACCTGAAGTATTCTTTTCCCTTAGCTTCCTTGTGCCTTATCCCGTTTCATCTGCTGCTTTGATCCCGACTTAAAACGATTATATACCGACCTAAGGAGAATAAAGGCAACTCGCTAAATCCGTTTCCAAAGTAACACATTGCGCTGAGCCAAAAGGTTACGGGAAAAAGTGCAAGTAAATCATCAGTATCATCAGTAGCAAGGTTAAGAAGAAACACATACTGTCTCCCTTATTGACTTTGTATTGAGCCTTCCCTAGTCCGGGTGGAGTGAACACCGCTTCCTTGTAGTTGCCGAAGCCGTCACACTCCATGTCTGATCCCGTCCTGCACCTCTCGCGAGCACAATCTGGAAATAAAAATGCATAAACCTGCCTTTACATTACTTAAACGTGAATTTGAATACGTATTTATGACAATTTTGTGTTAAAGAATGTGATTTCTAAGGTAAAGAGGTATTTAAGGAAATATGACAAGAGAATACAAAAATCGGCAATTTGGTTACCCTCTATTACCTGATGGACGTCATAGTAAAATGTATATATCGACTTTCACATTTGTTTTTAACCAGAACTCATAGTACTATAACGCGGGACTTCATTACTGTAAAGTCTCGCTTTACACATCGGAAAATAATATCATTAAATTAAGTTTGAATATATTAGGCCAAAACCTGCTTTCTAAAGAGAGGCCTATGTCCAGCAGTGAACTGTTAGAGGCTGTTGAAGTTTGAATACTAGCAGTACACCTTTTCTATACTTATTTATTAATAACAAAAAGTGAATACAAATTGTAAACAACTGTAAAGTCAAAGCTTACAAAAAAAACTAAATAATTCTACTCTAAAGGTAAATCATGCAAAATAATAGTAATGCACATATGAAGATTGGACTTACCGCAATTCATATTGGAGACTTCCACGCGCGGGACTTTGATACCTTCGATGATAGAGCCGTCTTCAAGAGCACAGTAACACGCGAAGCGACGGCACTGGCAAAAAACGAGTGTGCTTTAGACCACACGACTGAAGTAAAACTTCTTTGCTATGAGAGAAAGACAGAAAGAAAATGTGTGCTTGCACCTCTCTCTCTTGTCACTACAGTAATATACAAAACGTAACTCTCTCTCTTTCTATCTTCACTAACTTATATCTCCCTCTCAACTTCCGTCTCTCCCGATTACACTTTTCGTAACGCTCTCGTAACGCATTCACCAGCTTACTCCCCTAGTCAAGCGTGCGTGGAGAAGTTTTACTTCAATAATTCAATAATCATGGCAGTTTAAAAGTTAAAATAGAAAATATTCTTGTCTGACCAAAAATTTTCAATATTCGTATGGACAATGGACAACTTTTTTTTTTTATTAACATTTTATACGTAGACGAGATGTTTAGAAAAGCCGTGACCGTATGCCGTCAAACTGTCTATATACGTATTACTATCGTAGCCTTAAGAAGATGCAATGATAAAAATTACCGCTGCAGACAAAACGATACTTAGTCAATACAGGTTGACATCTAAACGTGACTATATATATATATTGGGTTTACCTGCACTGGAGCATACAGCCAGAGTGGGGTGCACTGCGGTGCATTGAAATGGAGGTGCCCTTCTGGCCCGTACTTTTTCTTGAAATGTTTCATTTGCCGCTTACAAGGCTCTTCAATATATGAAAGAATTAATCAATAAAGAAACCAACAAACTGTACAGTCGACAGGTCCTGACTTTGCTACTACTGCTACTGGTGATATCACCCTGTTGAATGCAGTAGATTTTTTGGTTTCCTGAGCTTACCTTGACTTTTATTCACCCAGGTCAACAAAGGCGACTTCACTTTTATCATCCACATAAATCATGATATTCAAAATTTTCAAATTTACAGACAATTTAATATTTAAATCAGTTTAATATTCATTACACAATTTGTGGGCATCATAATAAGTCACTATTTATATTAATATACAGTAGGATTCGCATACAACGACTTCGCTTATAACGGCTGACCGTTTTTAGCGACGACGATGTAAACTTAAGTTAGGTTTCATAATTAGGTGCTAGGCAAACATATCCGTGTAATTATACATTAATTTAACCAGTCTTGATTGTTGATTTAATGATATTTTGTATCAACATGCATAGGTAATAAACAAAATACAATTATAAATAACCACTAGCGACCAAAGACCTCTGCTTAGGTCGAATTATTTTACCTGAGTGATAAAACCTAGGTGCTTAGTGAAATGCTTCTAATGTGAATTGAGGAAACCAAAATATCTACTTTATTCACCCAGGTGAACATAGTGGAATAAACCTAATACTCGTATAATGTTTATTTCGTGATTTTATTTATGTTACAGAAAATTGTGTTGTTAACAAAAAAGCAGTTTACGGCCAATTATACTCGTGGCGGTAAAGCGTAATGGCCATGGTGTGAGACTTATGATCAAACTGTTCGGTTCGAAATTCACTCCCATTAAGCCACTGCTTTGAAATTCACCCAGTACACTTCTGACGTGAGCTCATTAAACTTCCTCCAAGTTTAATGAGCTCACGTCAGAAGTGTACTGGGTGAATTTCAAACCAGTGGCTTAATGTGAGCTCATTACTCTTCCTCCAAGTTTAATGGGAGTGAATTTCGAACCGAACAGTTTCTCAGCAGTTGGGTTAACAACAACAACATACTATTCACATTACTAATAATGATCACCTTACACAAACAGCCATCTGATCCCAACCTAGGCAGACCTAGGCAGAGCCATGGTAACCAGGCTGCTGATAAATATGCTTACATATTGCCAAATACATACATAATATATATAAATCACCACCCGACACAGAACGAATGATTGCGCTCATCACGCAATATTTATTTTTTAAACTTAATGCACAAGTTATACAGAGGCGGAGTTAATGCCATGTGCCATACTTTCGTAGTCAACCCTCAGGTAATGTAGAAATATGATGCGGTAAGTGCAATTTTTTAACCTGTATATATATATCGATTATCTTATTTTGTATGTGGAACGTTTACATGGTGAATACAAAAGTTACTGGTCCCTAGTATTCATCCCAACTGGATTTACATATGTATTTTAGAATGAATACCGTTCGCAAGGTCTTCTATGTCATCCCTCTTCCTGCGCATGTAAGACTGCACGACGTGGATATCCTGACAGTGACCCTGCCTGCACACCAACCCGTCATCGCAGCCCGGTTCTATAAACTCTTCTTCCACCTGGACAAGTAAATTAAACATATACAAAAGCATCAGTGGTGAAATTGAACCTGTCTGAATATCAATAATTTTTAAAAAGTCATGGTCCGAGGAATCGTCAGAGTAAAAAAATGTGCACAACAGTGAAGGTAATTGTTATATTAGTAACGATGAGAACTAAGGAATAAAACTGAGGCGAAAAGCAGATAAAAACAATCTTTGAAGCGTATCCAAAATTAGAGCTCAGAAGGTGCAAAATTTTTTAAGTACTTGAAGCGTACACAAACCCACTTAACATTTTCATTTATATACGTCACGATAAAATTGTGAATATCGTCAGATTATAATCTATCTCGCGAGATTGTAATCTGTCGAAAGATTGTGAACCGTAACATACTGCTTATAAATGTATTATTTTTCGGTAGATTACGATCCATCGAAGTAAAACCGTCAAATTGTGAAATGGCATGCGACGGAACGCGCCTCGCGCGCTGATTGGTTGAACGTCCTGTGGTCCGCGCCGCCATATTTGTTTGTTATTTCGAGATTAGAGATAGATTATAATCTAACGGTATTTACAATTTTACGGTGACATATAAATAGATATATAGATTAGTAAAACAAAAAAATATCCAAAACTACCTCGATTTCTACAGTCCCGTTAACTTTTTCAAAAGTTTTCTTGAACTCGGCACATTTCTCACCCAACTCTGCAACAGAAATAGAAAGGCAAAGAATGTGACTAAAAACAAGCTCCCTATGTTCCAAACTAGTTCTACTCAACGAAATTTGAGGGTCCTAATTCTAAAATAACCACCCAATATTTTTTTTAAATAACCGGTCTAATAGGTCGAGAAATGACTAAAACAGAACAGTATACCGTTACAAGTTGGTCTATTGCAATGGACACCGGTTTCCCATAGCCCACCTAGGTGAACTAGGCGGGTGGCAACAAAGGGTATACCCTAAGAGAAAATGCCCAGGAGCCCACGCAGACCTTGGCTACCCTTTAGACAGCAGTTAGATACAACATAGCGTATAGGAAGCCTTGCCGCCTCGCGCCATCATCTCAAGCCTATTTCAATATTTATGACGTATATAAGATGTTGGACTGACTTGTTTATCCCATCCTAGGGTTCCAAATTCCAAATTCCGGAATAGTGAAAACAAAAAAAACTTGGGTAAATAAAAACAATACGTATCCTCGTATATATATTGCTGTTAAAACAAAATATTTTATTTCAACAGCGTTTTTTACCGGCGAATCCTAACTGGCAAATTGACAGTAGGAGGACAATGTGCTTTAGTTACAAATCATTTTAAACTTTATTTCTAACTTTAAGTTTTGAGAGTGATGCTTTAAACGTCACGATTCAGCTGTTGTTATCCTAAAATGAGGAAGCCTATAGAACATAACTATATTATTTAGTTTAGCTATGTAGCTCCCTATCTCTAAATAAATACGTAGCGCAATTAAAAAACAACTACTCACGATGGTAAACGCTGCATTTACCACAGCAGTTACATTGCTCTCTGTCTGGCAGGAACCCCCCAAGAGGACAGGCGTCTTCGGAGACTTGTCCCATAGTGCATTCATAACCACGACAGGATATTGGACAATCGTCTCTCGTAGCAGGCTCGTAGCGAAAGCTACGACGGCTATGAACATATATTTTCTTTGTTTAAATTCAATATTAAAAAAATTACTGAAAGTAGCTATAGTACAGGAATAGTAATATTTAAATAACACTTGTGTCCTAGATATCTGAAAATAGATCATAAACGATGTTGCAGAAAAACAATAATCTCAATTTAGCAATTGAACTGTCTGTGTGGTGATGGTTTAAGAATACGGAGTGTCACCACCCCTATTCATCGAGTGGGTGTCGGGTAAAAGCCGACTAAGCGAGCAAACTATGCAGTACTGCAAAGAGAAGAAAAACTTAACAGAAACCTTATACCGACCCGTCTGGCCAGCGTGGTATAGAAGGCCAAAACCTTCTTTCTAAGGAGAGGCCTTTGTCGACTATTAAAGGCTATTTATGATGATGAAATTAGGTGTAGTAGTATGTATAGATATTATATTAGGCCTAGCTCAGAACTATCTAGACAATATCTAGATAAAAGCCTAGTTAATTATTACAATAGATGATTAAAATATTTTATATATAAATATAAACTTACAAGTTTAAAGTTTCCTTTGGTATTTGCGGCAGTGTCACAGGAACACCTGAATAAAAAACAAATATTTTATAAAATAATTTCTATTTCACTTTGGAATTTCTCGTAAACAATACAAAACTTACATCTTCGCAGTGTTTTATCACATCTGAGTGCTTTGAACTCCTGTTCAGGGTGGCCCCAGTACGGATTGCAACCAGCTCTAAAATCTAAAAGATAAGGCAGTTTTATTTTTGAGCTGCTTTTGAACTTGCGAACAGCTTCACTTGCTATAATTTTATTGTTCTATTCTTAAAAAGAAATTCTTTTGTGAGACGTATGTATGTATAAATTTCAAATTGATTGGTTCAGAAGTTAAGGCGTGAAACCGTAACAAACAAAACATTTACGTTTATGAATTAGGATAATAACTGATTTCCTTGCTGTAATTAATTATTATTAGGTTTACAATAAAAATGCTCTTGTATCAAAATCAAAACCAATTAATTTCAGGGTTGCCCAATTTCGAAATGTGTACATACTTCTTAAAATAATTAATTTTATAAAGTAAACAATCACCGATAGTGGTAACAGGCAGGAATTCTTCACTTTCAAAACTGTACTCATCTTCTATACACGACTGATCTAATTCTGAAATTAGAGTACCACGTTCAGTTTATGAAATTCTGTAGTACCAAAAATTACTTATCCCTTATATTTGGGAATTTATAGGAAATAATGAGAAATGATAGAGACAGTACCCTACTGTTGGTAATATACTTAATTAAGACAACTCTAAGGATATGATTAGGGATGTTACTTAATTTCGATTAGAAAAGCTCGTGGCTAAATGGTAACCGAATAGGTGCATAGTTAAGCAACATTAGCCAGGTCAGTCTATGGATGGGTGACCATTCTTAACACATTGAGATCCCCAGTTAAAAATTAATTTCAGCCCTACATAAACTCAATATTTTGTAATGCGCATAAAACAACAATATATTTATAATATTGAGCGCTATCTAGACCGAAGCTTTTGGTTCCAGAACAAGAATACATTACGTCCACATTCTGACAAATAGACATATTGTCTGCACCCAAATTTTTGCATTGAACGTGAATCGAAGCTGCAATATTGCGGTGGAATACTGTATCATACTGCTAAATTCTTCCACAACCACAAATTGCCAGTTTTATTTTACTAGTTAACCTATTTACATCCACCAAACAAGTTTTCGAAGCCATAATTCACGCCTTGGGCACAAACCTTGGGAGCACAGAAATAATCAAACCAAACCGTAGCACAGATGTCGACGCATCTGATTCCTTTCGAAAATATATTCGATGGGGCGCATTTATAGAAGCTTGCAACGTGCACATTAAACGCTAGTTATGACACGCACTCTACCAACAACATCTTAAAAAATAATGGACTTGTAAAATGTACACTAACCTCTATACGGTATACACTCATCACAACACCGACATTGCGCGTAGTCTGCCGGCACAAACATCGCCCGCCACTTGCCGTACTTGCGATCGCAATACGTGCGGTATTCTGACGGAACTACTCTTCTCTCTCTGACAAGTATATTACATAAGAACTTACACAATAAAGTAGAGCTAAACAAGTATTCAAGAAAATCTAGGCTGCCCTTAATATAAACGGGTGAGTACAAATGTAGAAGTGACGTAAAGGCGTTAATGAGAGAACTTAAAGTAAACTTTGTACATTGACAGTTACAAATACCAAATTCAAAGACTACCTGTTAAGATGTTTTTACACATCACCATCATATTTTTGTCCTCGTTTGAATTTTATTTATGGTCGGTGCAGTATGTAATATTTTTTTAAGGCCAAAAGTCAAAATATTTTTGTAAGTTCCCAACCTCCTTGGCAATGTAACTCTTTTTAGACGGGACAAAAGTAATTTAGGTACCTAAGCTAACAAGTCGAGGAAACCAGAGTGAAGATACCGCTAGTTTATGATTTAAGAAAGCCGTGTGACAAAAATGATGATGATGTAGTGGAGTTTTGATTCCATCCACTCCGGAAGAGCCCATGAACAAGTATGACGATAGCAGGTACTACAAGACTGCACTGGTCAGTTAAATCGAAAAACCGTTTACTTGCATGAATCCCGAAACAGCTCGCATTCGGTGTGATTGTTGAAGTGTGGGCACTGAGGACACACTTGGTAATCTAAAAACAATGGTTTTGTTATGATCACATTGTCATATATCAAATGTAATCAGTTAGATATCATAAAAGCTAAAACTTACAGAATAGAATATTATGTGGCGTTTTCTTTAAATGTGACAATTCTGACTCAAATGACGTAAATAGATAAAACCTGTACTATTACGACTACGACCAATAATGAACCAAGAAATAAACCAAATGAAATTACACTTAATGAAATAAAAGGCCTTCAACAGCTTAAATAAGATATTTTGTAGTATTAATCGAGTTTTGCACCTCAGCTCTAGAGATTTTTGTAGGTTCTTGTCATAAAATTATTTACATAATTGGACGGTTGACTTAAATCACTTCCTTACCGATTCTACTCCTGCAAATCGGCCTTACAGTTCTTTGAGAAACAAATTGCACGACTGAAAAGTCCTGATTACTGCGCTCGCACTTGTCATAATCTATATCCGCCTCATTATTGCGTACAAGGGATATTATTTCTGTTTCTCTCCAATACTCGCTCGTGTCCATATCTTTCTCCATCAGCGTTATGAAGGGAAGGTACTAGAAAAAATATTTTTTTCGGCAAGTAGGTTATTAATAACAAGCTGATCAGTCTTTGAGAAAAAAATCAGAACTTTCTGACCACATATATCTGGCTGCAGATCTGATGAAAATTACATACGATACCAGAGGGATAGTCCGGGTAGATCCTGTCCAAATTTTTAGTCGAAAATGCTCACTTCAGTTCTATTAAGTTGTATCTTAGGAAGGAAAGCGTTGCAAAACCTTATAATATGCGGCTGGAGGTGATATTCGAAACAGGAGTTGGCCTTGTAGTAGCACGATTCTGGTCTCTGTCAAATTTCCCGTTTACTGACATTCAGAGCACCGTAAATTAAAAGGGGTTTAAGGGATTTCACCGCATTCGGCAAAATTTACTTCAACGCCTTCTAGTGGTGATATGCCGAAATATATAGTAACTACTTATTCTGTTTAACAATTAGTATGAGTACACAAGTTTCCACTACTGGCCACAATCCGCCAAATACAATCAAATGATCTCCTGGCCTAGTCGGAAGATCAGAAGTAGATAGGCATAATACCTGTTGCTCTTCAAAATAGACAAGTGACGATAGTTTCTGGATAGACAGTGTGAAGAATGTTAGTAGTACTATGCTATTCTACATCCTAAATAAGGAAACGATTTTTTTTTTAACTTTTTCTTTATGTTTCACCATTTTTATGATGGAACTACCATGTTTATCTTACCGCATGTCACATAGAATTCTCTACCATCACTACAATACAGCATATTTTGGAGTTTCGATATTTCTACAGCTATTAGTAGTAGCTATTACTAGAAACAACGAATATTCAACATAGTTACTACCCTTGATTTGCCGACATTTTAGCTAAAAAACGACCGTGTGTCACAATTCAAACTTATTTCAAGAAGCGGGACTTTTACTTAGTAGACAGCGTATTAACGGCAGTGACAGCAAGTTTAATGCCTACAGGAGTCGCATATTGTAACATCTAACATCGCAGCTTAGTACCATCTGATGGCTAACTCTAGCACCGAAAATAACGCTCGGTTACATATTCCTGTCCCTTTTCATGAGATCATTACCACAGATTACAGGAAAGTGAGAAGAAATATCGATAATAAATGTTAAATTTTACAAATACCTTCAAGTTCTCGCTGGTCTGGTTTACTTGTTCCTCTGTATTTGCATTCAAACTTAGCACTGGGACCATGCTTTTGGCTGTAGCATTATTCAAATTGTAAAGTACGAGTATAATGTTTAAAAATAAAAAACTAATATTATTCATTATTATATTTTACGATTTTTCTAGGTAAATAATATATTGTTACAAAACCTTTTGATTTGGTTTGACAGTGTTTTGACAATTACTCTATAAATTTGTTAAAGTCTTTTTAAAAAATCGACAAGAGACGAGAAATTATCTCCTTGTTTCGCCAGTCTTCGTTTATGCGAGAGAGAGACATAATTTATTTTTGAATTAATAGGATTAATTTTGAATTATTCTTAGAATTACAATAAATAAGCATACTCAACTGTGACAACAACAAGCAATTGTGATCAAATAGGGAAATCGCTACGCTGAGACACCGAGGGGAGTAATCGTTTATTTATTTATAGCTTGGAGTAGAGGATGGCATCAGTAAGCCAATTATAGTATACCCCAGTTTTTTTTCAGCTGGATAATTTGTTATTGATATTGGTAATTACATATTACTTAAATTTTAAATGTGAAAGTGAGTTTGTTTGTTACGCTTTCACACAACCACTGAACCGATTTTATACCCGATACAGACGAGGGCGGAGCCGCGGGCAAAAGCCGGTTGTAAATATAAACTATTTATTCTATTTGGAGCGTAGTCTAATTGAATGCTGCAAGGCCCAAATGCCCATTGCCCCAATGCATACACAAAGTCTTTTTTGTTTTCATCATCATACGGTGCCAAATTTTCGTCTAAACAGACATTATATAACCCTGTCAAGTGGGCACCAGAAGCTATAAACGTATCTCTCACGGATGTTAGGCATCGTTATAGGCCGAATAATATTTTGTTTTACATAACACAACGATGTTAAATAATGCCTAGGTGCAGTATCTGTGGCGGAGGAAGCAGTCTCCCGGGGCGAAGTGGTGTTGGCGGTGTCCTTGGACATCGCCAACGCGTTCAACACTATGCCCTGGAGCTGCATCAGTGAGGCGCTCGTGTATCACGAAGTGCCTCTCTACCTCCGCCGCATAGAAGGGGCATATTTGTCGGAGAGAGCCGTCGTCTACCCCAGTAGGACCGGTCTCGGTAGGCGTGAAATGTCGTGCGGTGTTCCGCAGGGGTCGGTGTTAGGGCCACTCTTGTGGAACATCGGCTACGACTGGGTGCTTCGTGGTGCCTTCTTGGATGGTGTCGCCGTCGTGTGCTACGCGGACGACACACTCGTGACGGCGCGCGGCAAGACGCACCATGAGGCAACCCTGAGGGCCACGGCCGGGGTTGCCCAAGTCGTTGAGCGTATCCGGCGGCTGGGTCTCGAGGTGGCTCTGCACAAGTCCGAGGCCCTGTTCTTCCACGGGCTTCGGAGGAAGCCGCCTGAGGGATCTAGCCTCACGGTAGGAGGCACTCGCATCGGCATCGAGCCCTCGATCAGGTATCTGGGGCTCGTACTCGATGGCCGATGGGACTTCGGATATCATTTCCGAGGTCTGGTCCCCAAGTTGGTTGGGGCAGCGCGTGCGTTGGCGCGGCTGCTGCCCAACATGAAGGGACCCGATGACTCCTGCAGGAGACTCTACTCGGGGGTTGTGCGGTCCATGGCCCTTTACGGGTGCCCAGTATGGGCGGGGGCCCTGAAGGCCAGCAACGTCGCGATACTGCGACGACCGCAGCGAGTGCTGGCCATCAGGATCATAAGGGGGTACCGCACGATCTCCTTTGAGGCGGCGAGTCTCCTGGCCGGAACTCCACCGTGGGACCTGGAGGCGAGAGCCCTTGCGGCTCTGTATCAGTGGCGCAAGGAGACGCGGGAGTTGGGTCGATGCCCCGAGATTCGAGAAATCGATTACCGGAAATCCCAACTCCGCCAGGTCATCATAGGGGAGTGGAGGGAACGACTCGGGCAATCGAGCGCCGGGCACGCCGTCATCGCGGCGGTAAGACCCGTTATGGAGGATTGGCTCGAGAGGCGTCACGGGACCCTCTCATACCGATTGACGCAGGTGATCACTGGGAAGGGATGTTTCGGGGATCACCTGTGTCTGATCCGCAAAGAGCCAACGCCTGAGTGCCACCACTGCGATGGCCAGACCGTGGACACGGCTCTCCACACGCTGGCAGAGTGCCCGGCGTGGGTTGAGCAGAGGCGAGACCTCGTAGCGGCCATCGGAGTGGGAGTTCTCTCGCTCGATAGCCTGATTGCGGCTATCGTGCGGAGCGAGAGTGCGTGGAACTCTGCCGTCTCCTTCTGCGAGCAAGTTATGCTCGCGAAGGAGACGGCGGAGCGGGACCGGGAGAAGTTTAGGACTCTCGCGGACCGCCAGGCCCGGGAACGTGCCAGGTACCGCAGGCGACTCAGGCGCCGGAGGTCGCAGAACGACCTCCGTCCTCCATAAGCGCAGGGCCATCTGTCACCCTAGCAGAAGCAGGCCGGGGTGGCGGCGAGCGCGTTGCGAAGCGCGCTCGCTTTCAGGGAGCACAGGGAACATGGGGTTCCCACACGGGGGGGGTCGTCTACTCGTCTGTAGATGACCCGAGGTATGTCGGGGTACCAGGGACTTCCTTTCTAGGGTATACCTGGTTCCCCGGCTATTAGTACCCGAGACGGCGTGCGGTTTTAGTCGGTTCGAGTCCGACATGCCACCGACAGGTGGTATCCGAGGGGATTTCCGCACGGGAAAAAAAAAAAAAAGTGCAGTATCTGTGAAACGTCATACTGTCCTACGCACTTTCTTCACTCATTTGCGAATCCTTCCGGTCCGATTTCAGCCAATCAGCGTTGAGTCACAAATTTGTTTTTTTTTTACAATTGGTATAAAGACTTTGTCGGTCTGATGACCGACTGTGTGGTAACGGATTAAGAATACAGAGTGTAACTAAATATAAAAGTACCTTTACCTATACCCGCCAATTCTCCCAGAATTAAATGCAGTTCCATAATACCATCACTTGTTATTGCTTAATTTGATAAAAAATAAAACAACCAAATCACATACAACCTTTTAATCGTCATATAAAATACATATTACAAAAGTGTCTATGCCAATGTATACATCAATCAATACATAAATGGGTAAAAATACAACAAGGGTCATGACCACTATCTAATGGCTGTTTTTTACCCTTGTTATAGTGGCACCATAGCCTCATTTTGTACGCACTTTTAGAACATATTCCGTATCACTATCGTAAACTGATAACATAATTATCTTTTAAAAAAGTAGGACCGACTTCAATACGCGTATATAAGCTGTACTTAAGCTTCACCTTTTGGGTTAAATATTAAGTACCAATTCAGTTAAAGAGAATTATTGAAATCGGTTCACATCTGACGAAAATATCGCATAACACACGAAAAAATTATTAAACCTCCTCTTTTTCTGAAGGTGGTTAAAATCATTACTAATACAGATCTTACTCATAAGGCTCTATCTAGCAGAACTGTTTAGATGATCAGAATAAGTTTCTTGACGATGGAACGTATACATAAGTCTTGCGTCTCCATTGGCGAGTTGGGCACCACAATACGAATATCAGTTATTTGGTCAATTTGGAGAGTCACCGTCCTCAAGTATAAACAATATTTACTTTGTGATAATCATTTACGGCAGCATAACACACTCATAAAATCTATCAGAGTATAATCAACTTGTAGGAAGTCGGATCTGGTATGTCAAATTCCTATTATATTATCTACAGTAAATGGGAATTTCAGTAGATCCAAAAATAGCTTCTGTTAGTAATACTATGACTCTCGTCTTTACATGCAAAGGATGTGCGAAACAAAATATCTTATTCTGACCAACCATAGATCTGCTGTACAACACCGTTAAAAGCGTAGTAACGAATAATTTAGTAAAAAGAAAGATCCGATTATAAACCTCCTTTTTTCGAGTCGGTTAATGAAACGACAATAATATTCCAGTTTATTGCTTTGTTATATTTGTATCCTTTACGTAAAGTAGGCTCAACGATTGTAAGATTCTAATATACGAATAAACGAACAGTTATTAAGTTTGAGCAATTACAATACAATTCATAGCTATCCAATTTGTAGGTTATTCTTACGTAGCCAAGGACTCATAATAAGTTACATTATGTGATAAATTGACATCAGGGAAGTCCTATATCCAGGTGTGGACGCCCTGGGAAATGACAATGATGAACAAAGCCGAAGTCAGAATAAGTCACCAAATGATTGTCTCCCTAATTCAACAAAAGAATGAACAATCACAAATTAGAATGTAGTCTATACTAATATTCGAAAATAACGTTAGCGGTTCACGTTTTTGGCGTAAACCGCTAACCGAAATAGTCATAAGCTACTTTTGTATATAACAATTATAATATATGAAACATTGTGTGAAGGTGTTCTGAAACTTTGAATAGAAAAGTTTCTACGCAAACGAAGTTGCAGGCAGAAAGAAAGTCGCTTCATTTGGTAAAATTAGTCTCCAAATCGTTTTTGGACAGTAGCGATTTGGACTAACGTTAAATGTGTTGATCAGAATTGAAAATTGACAGTATAATCAATCGAACTTCAGATTACGATTTTCAACTCTATTTTTCATGCTATAAGGTTAATATTTACATTTAAAAGGCCTTAAGCATTTGGCAACTTAATCTGACTTGTCCGGTGGCATGAATTGTGTTTTAATTGAATTTTCCATCGAACTGCGGCGATCTAGGTCATAGTTAGTCCAACCATGTTCAGATCTGAACCTGATTATATATGTTGAAATAAAAAATAATTCGATTGAATTCATATTTACACATTCAATATGTGTCAGAAACATGACTGCTGACGTCACAGCTACGTGAGAATAAACCTACATTACAATAAGTACTATGGCAGTGGTTTTTATAGATAATATTCTATTTAGTGAGCGACTAAGTATTCACTAAAATCTGAATACATAATATAATATTTGTATCTATGTAAAACTTCTATTGCACAGCAACATTCTATCATTTCCAATCGAAATATTTATCTATTATTAAATAAATACTAAAATTTTAAAGATATTTTTATTTCCTAAAATAGTGGACGGATTCACATTCAGGTCCCCAATTTTCACACAGAATTGGCATTAATTTAAACAAAATTTCAACTAGGTACACTATGACCAGAAAATGTAACACAGTTAAATGGAAACAGTAAATAAAGAAATTATTTTCTGGCAACTTTTCAAAGAAAAGTTAACACTTGGTAGAAAATACATAAAACTTATATTGCCGCTAATGCAGTTATTTAAAAACAGTTTAATATTGAGTATTTCGACTACACCGACAAATCTAAACCAGTGTGTTATCAGGCTCTTCGAAAAACGATTTTCGAAACGATACTTCGAGATTATACTTTACTATAGCAGGTGTAGCCGTATTCTTGAAAAAAAGGGTTAATACACTTATCACATCGAAATCAAATTCGTGGGAGATCCATAATGCCGCACACATGGGCCGGCCGCAGTAAAACTATGGCCCCACAGAAAAGCGGTGTTAACGAATTATTTTGTGGCTTTTACCTGGTGACCCGTCCGCTCGTTTGATCCCTACATCAATTTCGCATTTGGGCGATAGCTTAAGCAGTTGATTCAGTTCATATCTATCTCATTTTACAGAAAAATGAAACAGGAATACCATACATTCCATCATTTCCAAACAGTTAGAAGCAGGCTGACATCAACCATATGATGATGATGATATGTACAACAACTACCACTGATTTCAGCTATTAGTAAAATATTCGATGACAAAAAAATGAATATACTATGAGAGATGTTTTTATAAATAAGAAAGGATAGAAGACCATTAAATTCCCAGCAAATAGATATACCGCTATGCTATGCTTGCCAAAAACAATCAAAAGATATACACGATTTAAGGTTTCATAAAAATGCAAAATAACAGTATTAATTGGATTTTTAATTTGAAAATGTGTGAATCTTTCGTGAATTTACCGCAGAATGTTGTGCACTCCGTAATTTGCATGACTTAGAAAAGAGATGGATAACCAAGTACCAAAGTAAATTGTCTAACATTATACTGCTCTACTTTAAATAATTTAATTACTTCTAAAACCAGGCGGAGGTAAATATAACCAAAACTTTTAAAGTGGTACGAGTGCGTTAACCCTAGTGAAAAAATATAAGAACTGCGGGTTCTCTTACCCCATCATGAACTTATTACAATATTAGTCTAGTCGTTTTATGATCTAAAATATTTAAGCGGAAAGATGCAAGTCACACAATAAAATAGGATACGTGACAAGAGTACGTTACCTTACCCCATAAAAAAATCTAGTACAACTACAAAAATATTGCCAAGTTAAAAAACTCACTCACCAATAAAAATATAGAACAATCATGTACAAAGCAGGGCGGGTATTATTTAGGCTTCAAGTGTTTGTTTTCACGCCTTTCTATTTTTCCTGTGCGGAATCCCCCCCCCCCCCCCCCCCCCCCCCCCCGGATACCACGGTGGTTACGTCGGACTCGAACCGACCTAAAACCGCACACCGTCACGAGTACCAATAGCCGGGGAACCAGGTGTACCCTAGGAAGGAAATCCCTGTAACCCCGACGGACCCTGAGCCATATACGTTTGTTTTTTACCTAAATTGTATTTAATGGACAGTATAAAATATTAAAAACTAAACTATTAAAGCGAACGAAATCGCGGTAAAAATGATGGTGTCAGGTATTTCAGCAAATTACCATGCAGTGTCAAATCCGAAAAACTAACTTGATTACTGTATAACAAAAAAACTTTCGTTGGGATTGATTTAACATTGGAATGGTACCTTTTCAGTTTTTACATTTCAATCGAATTGTCACGGGTGAATCTCATGTAAATTAAGGCTAGATTTGGATTGGAAACGCGTGTATGATATTAAATTTGACAACAATGTATGGCAAAAATAAAATCTGTTGTTACGTAGTTACTATTTTGTTTTGCAATTTTTACTGTTATACCGCTGTTAATACGAGTTGTGACGCCACAAACCGTTACTAATGTACTCTTTTGACCTGATGAACTTTGTAGAACATGAAAAGGAGTCAAAAGTATCACTCTATAATTTGAAAAACTGGCAACATTTAAGTAGTTGTAAAAACAATTTGAGAGATTCTACAAAACTTACCTTATTTATTCATCGTATGCTAGTTCTGAGATCCATTAAAGCACTCGCAGTGATGACCCCATGACGCTGTTTACTTACACAAGTCCCATAATCAGTATCCCCCCCTATAGTTACAGTTGAAAATGATGTGGAATTTCTTCTATGTTGCATAGAAGTCTTCTTACCACCGCTCATAAAACCATTGTCACAAGGGCTCTGTCTAGTCACAGGTTGGAAATAATCTCCGTGACAATTCGAAGACTCAACCCAGTCGTGTCTCTCGAAGATTTTAGTGGCTCTTAAGGGTTTAGACACGCTCTGCTCTGACCGATAATCCTTAACCGGTCTTTCTGGCGGTCTGGACAATTTAGGTCTTGTTTTCGTGTCCGCTGAGAGGTTCTTACTCTTGCTATATGATTTGTTCTGTTCAGGTTCGTGGAAACTTTTGCTGCTTTTACTTGTGGTGGTAGGGAGTGGATGAGTTTTGTTACTGGGAAAAAAATGAGAGTAGCCAATATGAGTCTATTAAGTTGTGGCTTTTCTAAGGAGAGGCCTATGTCCAGCAGTGGAATATGACAGGTTGATGATTGACGAAGTTATGGTATAACATAATTTAAAGTGGTTCGGGTGTTACGGTTCAGCAGGAGCCGTATCATCTGCCAAACAGTCCTAGTAAAGTATTACAGAATTCTGACAAATTAGGTTCGCTTTTATTTTCTCGTTGCTATTGCTTTCTTTCCTGTCTAAGGAGAGATCTATGTCCAGCAGTGAACTATTAAAGGCTGCTGATGTGATGTGTCTTATTGTTTCACTGAACATTAAAAGTACATTTTAAATGAATTGTCGATAGGTAAATAAGGCGTCACAAGTAAACTATCTACAATAAGGACAGTTTAGACGACAAAAAAACCAAAACATTAACTGATTATTTGTTATAAGAGTAAACCAACGTATTCTGGTTTATATAAAGAACAGTTAGAGAGGTCGGACTTCCAAGCAACAGCGAGTTACAGTTAAGTGACTCCAGCTTTTGCTTGCAGTCCCTAATCCACTCGTATGAGCAAAATCTGAACAGACATCTTCAAATATAATTAAGTTTACCTATAATTGGGGTGTAGGCTTCTCCTAACGTGTCCGTTGTTACTCTGCGAGCCCTTCGCCATGATGCTGTACAATTTATTTCTGTAATCATCTACGGACATTTGTTTGTCGTCCCTCAGTGGGAGAAGAACGTCTGATGGTAATGACGGTTCATCCCGTTCACGGTGAAATCTGTAAGATTTAAGATTTCTATAAATATTTTTTCGTAATATTGTGAATCACTAGAAAGTCTTCGTAAAAGCCAAGCTCTCTAAGAATCTCAGTAAAATTGTTGCACTCACTTGCCAACGTATTCATGGTCCAGGGCACTCGCCGCGCTGAGCCTCTTGGCCGGGTTGAACACCAACAGTTTCTGAACGAGGTCCGCCGCATCCCGCGGCGCACATGACAACAACGACGTAAGTGACGCGCCGCCATTGTTGTTCGAAGTTTGCTCGCGTATCAAAGATGAACCGTAGCCGCTACATACAATTTGTATATCTGTAAAAATACTTTTATTATTACTAACAGTCCTATTGCCAGATTCATCCAAGCTTATGATCACTGGCCCTAAGGCTCATAGGCTATTGTTATAATACTTCTCAATGATCTATTAGTATTCCTCATGATGTTTCTGACCGTGTTATTTGGATCGAATGTGACACACCGGTCGTCGTCGTGAAAGTCCGTAGTTGGTTACCACATGCACAAACAAAACCCCTTACCCAACTTATAGCCTACTTTTCATCCTTTATATGCAAATCATTGCATTAAATCATATTTTTAAAAATAGGAGCCAAGCATCAATTAAAAATTAGGTTGCGCGAATCAGCTAGTTACTTTATATGATTCATTTCATTGTGATGTAAGTCAGGCTAAAAATGAGAATAATAAGAGATACACATAGAAAGATACTATATAGCACAAGTTGCTCCTGCTCTAAACTCTCAGACCAACAAAATCATCATCATCATCATCATTAATAGTCCACTGCTGGACATAGGCCTCTCCTTAGAATGGAGGTTTTGGCCTACTATACCACGCTGGTCGGACGGGTTGGTTTAGGGTTTGCATCAAGTTTTCCTTCTCTCTGCTGTGCTGTTGTCCTGCGTACTTTCCTCCCTTAGTAGGCTCTTACGACACCCACGGGATGAATAGGGGTGGTGACACTCGGTATTCTTAATCCGTCACCACACGGACAAAATATAGATATAATATTTTTGAGCTACTTACCTTCAGGCGAAGGTCTCGGCAACGCAGACATAATTTTCTCCACTTGGTTCACTGTGGATGTGCCAGGGAACAACGGCTTACCAGTCAACATTTCGCCTAATATGCAGCCTAGTGACCACATATCAATGCCTTTTGTATAGCTGTAAAAAAAAAAAACAGTAACTGGGACGTTACATATGCGAAACAAATGCCTAGTCACTATTTGTAAACTTGCGAACGTTTCATAAAAACTCATTCCAAAATAAATAAGAATATTCACAGTGATCTATAATTGCTCAATACTGACTTCTTACTAGCGATGAGTATTTCAGGCGCCCTGTACCAGCGTGTCGCTATATAGTCAGTCAGACATTGATCAGCGCCTTCCTCTCCGCCGGAATATAAGCTTGACACCGAACGGGCCAGGCCGAAATCTGCCAACTTCACCCTGGAGATCAAAAGGACATCTTCCTTAAGTTTAATGGTTTTTTTTAATGGAATAGTGGGCAAACGAGCAGTTTTAAAGTAGGTCGATGTCAACTGGTAAATAATGATACCTACTAGAATAAGGATAAGGCTTACGTAACGATTTTATATTTTGGGCACTGACAACTTGACCTCAGTTGGCAGTGATACACACACTTTAGCAGAAAACCAAGGAATTACTATAAAACAAGTTATCAGAATTATATTATAGGTATTTCATTTCTTTCTTATAATACTGCGCATATGGTACTGCCTAACGGATCATTTTAGGCGACCGCCTGAGGAGATTAAATACATTGGCTTTTGACTTCATGACAACAAAGCCAAAAGCCAATATTGCTTCACCTCTATTACTGCCAATGTACATTTCAAATCTCTGCAGCATCAAGTGTTTTGAGTTGGAAATCCATTTAACGTTTTTAGTTGTGTTATTCACAGTTTATACATTCAAATATGTCTTTGTAAAGTACTCCATAGCATAACTAATATAAATACATACACATATAAGTACAAATACTCTCATTTCTATCCCCAAAAAGGATAAGGCAACCCCATTTTGCTATAATTTGGTCCCGCTCATATAATACTCGGCAAGCATAGGTATTACTATCAACCGGACACTTAAGAATTAAAATATTGCGAGTAAATTGAAAAAGAAACTAAGGTAAGAAGAGAAGGCGACAGAAGGAAAAAGGCTATGAAGTCCGAGCCCTAACCGAGTCTCAACATAACTTGTATAATCACGACAAGCAGTGTAACAGTGATACATTGACATACATCTTGCTTTTAGTCAAATAAATGCTACTCAGTACACCTATTTTTTTTTTAAATCATTAGTTTTTGGTTATAGTCAAACGTTATCTGCTTGTAATACTTCAATAATAGGTATTGTTACAAATAACAAATTTCGGTTGCTACAGTGGCGGATTAACCCTAAGGCAAAGTAGGCACGTGCCTAGGGGCGCGAGGGAACAGAGGGTTGTCCAGTCAATGGCACTATACGGTGCAATAATGTGGGCAGAAGCTCTGATCATCCAGAATTAGGCACGCTCTAATAGTGCTTACCCTCAGAGGGTGAGGCAGATGTCGCTGAATTTGGAGGTGGAAGTGAGTGGCTATAGGCCGCTTGCGGAGCCACGATGACTCATTGGTCAACCCGGCTCCACATATTAGCTTTGGCGTCGTGGAGGCGGTCCAGCCGGTTATGGCTTAGACTCGCCTAGAGTCTCGTGCTGCCACCCTGCCCCCTATGCAGGGTGGCAGCACGAGACTCTTTCCTTCCGACTGACACAGGTTTTTTCTAGGCACGCTTTGGGAGGTATCAGCTTTTGATCGCTAGGAATGAATGAAATTGCGCCTGTTATCACTGCAGTGCAGTTTCAACTCGGGCGTTGTGGCCTATGAGAGTTTATCACCGAAGGTGGTGCCAACGCTTTTTACCGAAGGTGGTGCCAACGCTTTTTAAGGACAGACGCTAGGGACGCTCCTGGGGAATATCGGCTACGACTGGGTGCTCCGCGCCGCCCTCTTGGATAGTGTCACCGTCACGTGCTACATGGACGAAACGCTCGTGATGGCGTGCGGTAAGGCGCACCGTGAGGATCTGGTGGCTCGGACTCGAGTGTCTCTGGACAAATCTGAGTCCTTGTACTTTGATGAGCATCGAAGAGGGCCACCTCCACCGTCTGCGAGGAAGTTATTTTCGAGAAAAAGAGAGTGGAGCGGGTCCTGAAGAGGCTTACAACTCTCTCGGCCAGGTACTGAAGTCGCTAAATGACTCCGAAAGTCCATCCTGCATACGTGCAGGCCGGAGGTGAGGCCATCTATCACCAAAAAAAAAGCCCACACATCTTAATAAAAGCTGTTATCGGATCCCACCTATTTTGGGGGCAGTGTTTGGTTTTATTCGGTTCGATTCCGATACACTGGCCCACCGCAATCCCCGGTGGGATGACAGCCCATGTACAAACGTAGCCACACGTAGCAAAATAAAAGTTCTTGTAAAGAAATGACAACTAAACTTTGGATCCATCACTATCACATATTGGCGCTAAGGATGCCGGGTGGGGGGTAGATAAAATGTTTGCCTGGGGCGCTCTTGATACTTAATCCGCCAGTAAGTATTTGTAGAATAGACGTCTCTGTCTTGGATACGACCTTGATAACTCCAATCACAACATAAGTAATGTCTAAAACGAAGAAGAACATACAAAAAACTTACCTGCAAGCGCTATCAATGAGTACATTGCTCGGTTTTTGGTCCCTGTGTATCACGTTCCCCGAGTGAATATACTTGGTAGCCTTCAACATCTGATACATAATATATCTTTTGTGGATATCCTTGAGTATATTGCCACGGTTTATCACGTTATGTAAGTCAGTCTCCATGTATTCGAAGCCGAGGTAGATGTCGCGATTGTTTAGAGCTCTGAAGTAAATAAAAATGAGTCACAAGAGAAAATATACAATTTTAGAGGTGTATGGCTCCTCACACTGACGTGGTGGGACGCTTATATAAACAATCCTCCCAGCAGGCCCGAAATTAGATGGGCATCCCAATAATTCCCATTCAAATCCTTACACAATAAACATAGGATACTTCAGACCTTCCTCTAACCGTCGGATAGCCCGATGGGCTGGCTAGACTGGAACCGGACCGGACCAATAAAATAATAATTAAGTTAATTTTAAACAAACCGGTGAATATTATTCGCATGGCTACTAAGTATACTTTTATACGACTAACCTATACGTAATAAACTACGACTAACCTATACGTAATAAACTTCTACCAATTTATGTGTAGGTTACAAGGCACTAATGAATTTATTGTAATTATGGAAAAACGTTATGCCAGATGAAAGTAACTAAAATAACAGGTCTTATAAGATGGTTTACACTTAGAATAAGCAATGATGCTTCATCACAACTTACACTATTGAGCAGAAGCTTACAAAAACCGATGTGAAAATTGATTAAAATCTAGCATTTCAAGGCACTGATTCCTTTACTGATTTCCCCAAAAGGACAAGGATTTTATTTTAAGTTAAAAAAGGATTCAGCATAATACTTCTAGCTAAAAATACTTTGGCAATTGGCCATAAAATATTAATTTGGCTAACATAAAAATGAAAGTGATAGAAACTGGTGGTAAGCTTACCTGTGTATGCTATGCAGTTTTACAACGTTCGGATGGTTCCTGAACGATTGAAGAAAAATTATTTCTCTAAAAGTCCTCTGAGCATCAGTTTGATTCCGGAATGCATCAAATATTTTTTTTATTGCTACTACATCCTTAGTTTTTTTATCAACAGCCTTCCAAACTATACCATAAGCACCTTTCCCCAGTCTCTTCTTAATTTCGAACCTTTTTAGTATATGCTCGTCAATTTCTGACATATTTTTATCTGGGCTCTTTTTCTGACCCTGCTTTGGTCCCACATCTTTTTTCTTCTCATCCCTTTTCACTAGATTTTGATTCATCTGTACTCTTTTCAACACACCTTAGGCAGCGATTGTAAAATCAAATTCTGCAAGCGGTTTAATTAAAATTCATATATTCTTAACAGACATGTTTCGTTGTAAAGCATTTATACAAAATGTAAATTCGAAGCATGTCGTGAGCTTATTTGAATATCAGAAAAGCGTGACTACCATCATTGACAAAATATTGATTATTTACGCTAAGCAACCAAAAAATATATCAATATGTAATCAATACAGAATGCACAATAAAATAACTAAATTATAGAACATTACGTAAGTAATATACAAAACTGAAAGAGTATCTTACCAATCCCATTATCCATTTGCTGTTTTGTTTGTAATTGTCGAAGATTTTTTGACAATAACTAGATAGTCATCGGCATATTTGAATTGTGCCATTCGAGTTTTCATTTGTTTACGGAAACCAAACAACGTGTCCGTTGCCATGGTAACCAAGGATGACAACTTTAGTAAGGGGGTAAATACGTATAATCGATAACTAGTCAATAAAAAAACATGTCAAGGGTAAATCCAATAACAGTACCATAATTATTTTTTTATCTGTTTTATGACTGTAGCGTTAGGAACAATTTTTATATTGTTTAAATAAATATATGTAAATAATTATCAAATAGATTAAATTAAAGCATAAGCAATAAATGTATACTAAATTTTTCTTCTGCGTAGTTTTTTCCCTTAGTCGTCTCTTACGACACCCACGGGATGAATAGGGGTGGTGAAACTCTGTATTCTTAATCCGTCACCAACCAACCATTGCAGAGAGAAGAAAAACTTGACACAAACCCTATACCAACCCGTCTGGCCAGCGTGGTATAGTAAGCCAAAACCTCATTTCTAAGGAGAGGCTTATGTCCAGCAGAGGACTATGAAAGGCTGTTGATGATGATGATGATATTTTTCTTGTGGTAGCACTGACATGATGCGCTCGCGTCTAAGGATTAAAGTAATGTGTATGTATCGAGTGCATTATAAGCATATAGGAGTTTCAATTGCATAAAATCATTTCCTTAATTTAACATAAAGTAACAAAGTTACATTTAAGTTACATAAGCGGTTAAGAGATTATACTTGGTACTACCCTGGGTACAGGGTACTACCCTGAATGACGTTTATTCGTACCAATTATAGAAGTACATGCTACTAACGCGTGAATACTAAGCATGACGCAGAGAATATGAAATATTGTCATTCATTTCAGAGTTGTCTTACAGCAGAGAGTGAAGTTTAAATATTCTTGAAATGTGGAGGTTAATTTGAAGTAAAACGACGTTATATTTTCAACCGTTTATTTTGTTTAAACATTAGTAAGTGGAATTGTTAGAAACTATATTTTTGATAACAGTAATGTAGTAATTTCTATATGTTAGTCTAATTCTATAATTTTTCGTCAAACCTTAGTTTTCCAAATGCCTTTAATACTAGGTATAATCCGAATTTTACGCCATTTTTAATGAGACAATAACCGATGAAGAGAAGAACCAAAAGACTCATTTAGAGATATTGACTTTTTTCTTTGATTAAAGAATTATATAACCACTTATGTATATTTTAGTTACCTAGGGCCAGGAGAATTACTATTATTGTAACGCATGAGTGAAATCCTCCTTATTTATACTCCATAAATATTTCGGGTTCCCGTAAAATGGAGGATTTGCGACCCATGAGAAATGCAGATGGCAACCCATTACTAAATTAAAACAAACAATTCCAAATGAAATCAATACTTAAGTATTATATAACATTAACAATGAGTACATTATTATGACGCAAGCAAATTTAATATCAAATGCAGAGTAAATTGAACACGATAAATCCTTATAACCTACGTTTGTAAAATAGGAATATTTAAAAAAAATAGGTACTTTATAAAATAACATAAAATAAAAATCTCAAAAATAAAACTTAGTACTAACAACACAGTACCGAAAATTATCACAATCTACGGTGTGGTCGCCTGCTTCTCAGGTGACCTAAGTCTACCAGTGTTCCCGGGTCCTCTATGGTTCTCCATGTGGTTTTGAACCTCGAGGGTTGCCACACGACAAAATAAAAATGAAAAAACATCACCAAATCAACAGTATGTATGAACAAAACATAAATAAACTTTTACAGTGTGTTTACATAAGTAACTGGTGCCATTATGTAACTTTGTTTATTCATATAAAGTTGAGCAACGTTAATACATTTTGATTTCAAACTTGATCTATTCTCAAAAGTTTAAACATAACAAAACTAATTTGTTACATTCTGATTTAAAGAAACAATATTTTTTATTACTTTACTATCTGAAGAAAAAATATTATTACTTTAAAAAAAAGCTTACTACCAATAGATATTTTTAGAATATTTTCATCTAAAGCCTTAGATACATATACTACTGGACTTTATGTTGCAGACAATGCTTCTGCATGACGAATAAGATATTATTGTACCAGAAATGGTGTCTGATCCACTTAAAACTGCCTTATACCAATCATCCAACCAATCAATCAATCAGAACTTAACACGGCCACCCAGACAACCTATTACAATTGGTGTACCACAGGGTGCTATTCTCAGTCCATATCTTTTTAGAATCACTTATTAATTTTACTTTAACAATATAACTTATTAATATTATTTTAACAAATTTGCAACGTCTACTATTGCATTTTTAAAACTATCGTATTAGCAACTAAATTGCTAACTAAAATTTAAACTTCTTTCGTTATTACTTGTGCCTCTAACATTTTGCTGATATTAAGGCAACATTTCCATTGATTAAAATTTCATTTCAACATATGAACGAGCGAAATTATTATAAAGGAACTTAATAAATATAAATTTATGGAGAGAGAACCTTGTAGAGGCTCCTCGAAGACATCGATTTTTTTATTACTTTTCTTAGATTTGAGTAATGAAATAGTACATAGATATAAATCTATGTAAACATGAATGTCGTCATTTTAATATTTTGCACATAACTACTTCGCATTTTTAATTATTCAAGAATGTCTTAATTCATAACAAAGTCTTTTAAATAGAAGCCCACAACGCACAACACAAATATGCTTAGTAGATGCCTTAAGTAACAACCAAAATTTGAATTTAAAACAAGTTGACCTCAGAAAATGAATGAGTTCTGAATTCAAATTGTACCATAATGATAGATAATGGTTTTATCTAAGGAAATGCAGCCCAAATTGTGATTTCTACACTACCCGCTATTCAGATCTAAATTGCATTGAAGGCACACTTTACATCTGAACAATACTCATTTAGAGAAAGGGCGGGTGTATTTTCTTCTTGTCTTCTACATCCAAACGTCCAAGATCAATGGAAGATGGTGTTGGAAGACCGCAAGGCCATTCGAGGGAATCTGCTTCATGTGTCATGATGTGTTCAGCTTCCACTGAAATTTTACTTGTATTAATTAAATACTTAACTAGCTGTAACCAGCCAAGCTTTGCTGTGGCACATTGTGGTTGCAAAAATAATAATAATAAGAACCATCTTTGAAGCGTGTTGTATATCTTGTCATATGAGCTCGATTGGTACAGAGCATTTTGCGTTTTTGAAGCGTTCAAAAACCAACTTGACAATTTATATATATAATTGGGCATAGTCCTTCTTTAGACTAGACAATATAAATCTAGGATTGCCAGAATATAGAGCTAACTTATATTATATTATGGAGTCATATGAATTAAAGGTAAACAGTCTTGTACTACCTAGTATATGTCCCTATAACAGGAAATTAAACTTTCTATTGAAATTTAACCCAAATTGTGATATCCACACTACCCGCTATTCAGATCTAAATTGCGGTGAAGGCACACTTTATATTTGAACAATACTCGTTTAGAGCAAGGGTGGGTGTATTTTCTTCTTCTCTTCTACATCCAAACGTCCAAGATCAATGGAAGATGGTGTTGGAAGACCGCAAGGCCATTCGAGGGAATCTGCTTCATGTGTCATAATGTGTTCAGCTTCCACTGAAATATTACTTGTATTAATTAAATACTTAACTTGCTGTTACAAAAAATAAATGAAAACCATCTTTGAAGCGTGTTGTGTATCACGTCTAACTTGAACTCAATTGGTGCAGAAATTTTTGCGTTTCAAGCTTACACAAACCAACTAACACTTTTATATAGTATATAATTAGAGATAGTTCCACTTTAGACTAAACAATATAAATCTAGGATTGTCAGGGTATAGAGCTAACTTATTTTATATTTTGGAGTCATATGAATTAAAGGTAAACAGTCTTGTACTACCTAGTATGTGTTCCTATAACATGAAATTAAACTTTTTATTGAAATGTTTTAACAAAATAACATCGGCAATGACTGTGTATTCAATTATACAAGTTAATCTTTAAAGAGTAAAAATGTATATAAGATAACCAAATTAAACAAATTCTATATTCAATTACACAATTAACATGAGAGGATTTTAGACATAGCAGTAACAAATATCTTCTACGCATATAAAATTACTTGCTTAACTTTTGGACTCAAGAATTGCAATGAAGCATGGATCTTAGACAGCAAAGACAATTCACCTGTCTAAGAAGTAACCTATTCGCTCTACTCCGCCACGCATAGAAGTAACTTATAAGCTGTTTACACACTTTGCAAGCCTCGACAAGTGTCCACAAAAACATGTGTGTGAACGGGGTGTTGTCGTCGATCGGTACTAGTGTCAGTTTTTTAACTCAGATCAAAAGGAGCTTGCAGCTCTGCTCAATTAGAATATTAATTGAGCTGTCGGGAATCAACAGTCTCGATGCTCTACTAGTTGAGCAGTAGGGCTAGCGGATTTTTTTAGTTTAGTGGCACCGTTTATATTTTATATGAAAATATGTCTACGTCTGCTATGTTTGCTGTCCAGGACACACTAATACACTCACAAGCATGTAAATGGCATCCAAGCGTTTGTAAAGGCTTGGAGCTTGTGGACGTTTGCCAAGCCTCAGAACTCATGTAAACAAGGCATAAGCCAAGCATACAATTATCTTATTAAATTTAGTCAGGTTTTAGCAATATTATAGTGTTGAGTTAAACCTCCTCATGTGCCGCTACACTGTCACACCGCCACAGTGTGGTTGCACATGAGGAGTAAATTTTTACGATGACATCTGTCTGCACCTATTACATCAGTTATGTGATAATATGGAATAGCAAATATTCAGGTAATACTTACTCCTTATTCTATGTACTTTATTTCCATATGCCAGGTCCCAATAATACAGAGTCACAAAAGTGAGAGGTATCAACGGCATAAGTAGATAGGGTCTTTTAGTCCTCCTGAAACTGTTACATAAATAAGATAATTATTTTATTTAGTTATTTATTAGTTAGTTGCTTATTAAACATAGAATCAACTAACAAAAGTAAATGACTCTCACCCAGTAAATAAGCCTGTTGCAGCAGTTATGGAGAAAGCAGTTAGCCATAGACATGTGTCCCTACTTTTCGCAATGTCCATAGCCACTTGACGCTCTTGCATTTGATATTGTAGCTGAATTTGTCTCTCCATCTAAAATTTTTCAATAAAATATGATTTTTTGAAGTGAAACATCTAATGTGGAGGGTCAGACCGGTTGTTGGTGTGGCGACGCGTCGCCACGATATGTGATAGTATATGTAACATGTAATGTGGTGTTATTGTGCTATATTTATTAATTCCTTTCATAAGCTATCCTTTTATACTCATTATTATACATTACATTATACTACAAAAAAACGCTATTTCATTGTTTTCCATCTTCATTTTTTATATAAATATAATCTTTGTTTTATTACACTTATTGGAAGCCAGTGGAATGCTAGAAATACCTATTATATTACACACCTAAGAAAAACAAACAAAATTAAACTAAAAGTAGGTTGTAATAAAATTAAAATTCATAGTTTTAGCTACAATTTACTTTATACGAAAGTTTTACCTTTATACTAAAGGTACGGTACCTTTATTTTATTTATAGTCTGTATAAATTCCTGGTTGTTTTTGAAATTTTCTTCCATATTTACAGTGAAATAGTTCCCCATTTTTTATATTAACTCGTACTTTTACTTTGAATAAATTTCAGTAAACAAACAACGATCGTTGAATTATAAACGCCCAGAAATTGAGTAACAAAGCCATCAGCTGCTTAATTCTTGCTGTTGTCAAAACACTTAAGTTTAACTCAATCACACGTTACGTTTCTGCTCTAACTTTAACATAGTTTTATGTTACTTGATATAAAATGTAGTACAAAGAACGATGAAAACTATCGAACAATGTAGATATGAAGAATATATAAATAAATTACTGAGTGTATTTTAAATGTTATTTAGAAATTATGAAACATTCGCAGTGTGAAAACAGACGGTTGCAACAATCTCTGGTTAAAATGGTAGGTGACGGGTGACTTTCCAATAGTATTTCTTTTACGACTGAAAGTCTCTCTTCGAAATTATAAGAGTACTAAGTGGTCGTAAAGAGTCTGCAAACTAAGTCGAGGTTTCCGAGGTGTTCACGTAATCACTTTTAAGCACACAGCTTGTTTGTAATACTTAATAAGAGTTGCCGACTGCCGTTATCTGCATACGTAGAAGCTGTAACTATGAATTGATTGAAAAGTCAACCTCTGGTCCACTTCTAGTACTAGGTACCTAAGAGAAAAGTACACGTAACCTGTATACTATGATCAGCTGCTAATATATGTGCGTTTAATTTAACAAAACTTAACGTTCGCTACGTTAAGTTAAAGTTACTTAAAAGTCATCACTAGTTTCGGTTACTATTTATATGGCAATAACTACTAACGACCTTACGCCCCTAGTGGATTTTAAGCTAAAATTAGTGGTTTCGACCCCTTTTAGTGGCGAAATTTTGCTTTTAGTAGATAGTGGATTTTTTTAGTGGTTTAGTTGGTGTAATAGTAAGATTGTAGAGGACTCAGGAAATTCTGTTGAAAGATGAACTGGGAGATCTGTTTGTCTACGCAAACCTCAAGAATGGTTATAGGAAAAGAAGGATGTGGATTGGATAGAAGTGCTCAAGAAGAGAAGGATTAATTTTAGGCAATGGGATGATATAGACTTTGTGCCAGATGAAGGAAAAGGTTTCGGCGTCGAGAAAGAATTCAATAATGTCGTCTATAATTTCGAGGACGTAATCCAGGATGGTAACTATCATCCTACGGCTTGCAAACCATTGTGTTACAACAGACAGACAGAATTATCTTTTTGATGTTCCCAAAAGGCACAGTAGAAAATTCAAAGTACACAATATTGGGTCTGGGCAGACTAGCGATATAATTGAGGGCCTGACTCTATGTTTAATGATCCGGTTGAGTAACAGAAGATAAATGAAAATTGAAATCATTCCAACCAATGAAACTCGGTCCGTTGTTGTCTACCAATGAGCAACGTATTATGGAACTGCGACATAACTTGCTCTTTAAAGAGGCCCAAGGAGCCAAGGGACCTTTGCTATTACCCTCTTAATACTGCCCCATTTCAATGCCTTTGTTGAGATGAGAGACTATAGTCATAAACAGAGGACTAGAATGAAGTTAAATCTTTTTAATTTGCTATGTTAAGAATACGCTGTGGTCGAAAATTGGAAAGAGAATGCTGAAAGCAAATATAAAATTCCAAATGAAGTTGTAAAATAAATTTGTACCAAAGAATCGTATTAATTAATCTGGAACCGACGATGATGGTGCTGATAAAAACGATTTGTATCAGTACGTATTAAATTTTAATAAAGGAAACCAGTTATTAGTATACTTATGGTTTTCTTTCGTCACATCACATCACATCAACAGCCTTTAATAGTCCACTGCTGGACACAGGCCTCTCCTTGGAAAGTAGGTTTTGGCCTACTAAACCATGTTGGCCAGAGGGATTGTGTCAAGTTTTCTATCTCTCTGCAGTGCTGTTGTCCTGCGTAGTTTGCTTCTTTAGTAGTCTCTTACGACTCCCACAGGATGAATAGGGGTGACACTCTGTATTCTTAATCCGTCACCACACGGACTAATTTCTTTCGTAATTACTAAAAAAAATGTTCAGTGGAAAATGTAGTGCCTAATAGAGTATGGTCGTTTTTCGTTGCTACTTCCTTGCTACAATCATATTCATTTGATAAAATGTTTGATTTTAGTCAAAGTGATTTCACATGCGATTGTGATTTCATCATAGTTCTTCTATTTGTTTGGCGTTTACAATTGGAGGAGCACTGTTATGGCAGTTTACAATTTGGTTAATAGCTTGACGCAGTTTTAAAGTAATCAGTTACAGTTAGGTTGCAGTGCAACACTTTGCTTGAACCACGTGTCAATTCTTTTAAGGTGTGCCATCAAGCTTGGCAATTAGACAGTTTTTCAATAGATTTATGCGCCACTAATTTAATCAAGTGGGCCAAAGAAATGACGGACTCTTTTGCAAAACGCAATATCAATAACTTTCACTACATTTGTTTCACCGTCAGTCACCACTGCCAATACTTTATTTGTACCTATCAGCCATTCTTCGAAAGTTAGTAACAGCAACCCTTGCAATGTATTCAGCGGAATGTGATTCTGTTAACTCACTCTCAATGAGGCTGATACCATTGTCTTCACAAAAATGATAGATTTCGATTGTGTTTGAACATGACGAAAATTCGATTATGTGTCCGTCACATCGATGTTACGATGTTTGTTTGATCGATTTTCGATGATCATCGAGCATCCCTAGTATAGTACTATGTAAAGTATGTTACAAACTTGACTTAAAGGTCTTAGTTACCAGGTCATTAAATTCCAAAAAAAAAAGTATGTAACATACTTCCCGCCAACCGCCAAATTCATGGTTATGCTTGTGCTTGTGTTCTTTATTTGTTGATTGATTTCGTTGAAAGCAAAGATGGGTATTTTAGGTTTAACAAAGTTAATTGCAGATATTGCACCTCACGCTGTAAAAGAAATGGAAATTAAAAACTACTTTGGTATGTTAGGAAATTTGTAAACAATCGATTTTTAACCTATATTCTTTTATTTTAATAATTCTTTATTTTTCAGGACGTAAAATTGCAATTGACGCGTATATGAGCTTATACCAGTTTTTAATAGCTGTTAGAAGTGAAGGTAAGTGATATTGAAACGTATTTGAGATCAGAAAACCTAATAATTATTTTCACAACTTCACGAAGGTATAACTATGGAAGTACGTTCCGGTCTTTTCAAAATCCTGTTGGAATGTGATAAATAAAAAAATTGTCTGTATGTAGTTCATGAACTGGACCAATTATAATATTCCTTTCACCAAATCTAATAAATAGTAACATAAGTTACATTTTATTCAGCATGTAACATAACAAGCGTATAACAGACACAGCTGTAAAAACAGCAAACACTAAATACTAAAGATCATGTCATACAGGCAAATAAATTAATCAACCATAAAAGCCTCATTTTTAACATATAATATTAAAATTTCAGGCAGTCAACTAGTGTCTGTAGATGGAGAGACCACCTCCCACCTCATGGGCACTTTTTACCGCACCATCAGATTGGTGGAGAATGGTATTAAGCCTGTTTATGTATTTGATGGTAAACCTCCAGAGATGAAGTCGCACCAGTTAGAAAAGAGGGCCGAGAGAAGGGAGGAGGCTGAGAAAGAGTTGCAGAAGGCTACAGAAGCTGGTATGATCATCCAAATTATCTATAATCGAAGGTCAATACTCCAATATCATCAACTATATAATAACTGCCCTCTACTCATGGTTTTGGGTTGTGCCACAAGGTGTAACATTATAAAGGTGTTAGTTTATGGCTGGGTTAACTGGGGGTTTACAAATGTGATAAAAAAAGTAGGTAAATGAAGTAAAATGCGTAGTTCAAGGTAGTTAGGGGAAATCATATACCACAGTATTTATTAGGATTAATGATTTATCTGATAATGCCCACTTGAGCAACTTGTAAGAGTATATAGGTCTCTGATGATCTCAAGGAGCTATTGTGTGTTGTTTAAAAAAGCAAAACATTAGCTATGTGATAATATAGATAGCCATGTGTCCTAGCCAATAGGCCATATGTGAAAAAGATATATACAGTAGAGAGAGGATAAGAGCATTCTGGCTAAAATGGTTTGGATGCCACTTCATTTTTTTTTCACACATTCCACACACGGCTGTCTGATCCCAAACTAGGCAGAGCCTGTGCTATGGAAACCAGACTGCTGATAAACATACTTATATATATTTAAATAAATACATATTATAGATAAATTACACCCAGACACAGAACAAATGGCCGTGCTCATTACACAATAGTTGTCCTGGCTGGGAACCGAACCCACGACCTCCGGCTTAGCAGTCAGGATCACTAACCACTAGACCAACAGGCCCGTAAAATTTTATTATGAAATATGATCAAATTTGACAATGTTACGAATTAATCTTATATAGTCTGAAGTCTCTCCAGTTTAAGTGGTGCTTTATATTGAGTGATCTATCATCATACATTATCCAGGGTGCACTTAATTTCTCTAATCTGGTCTGATCGGCCACTTCGTGTTGCAGAACCTTGGTCATGAATTTCTATTGCTCATAGCTAATGCTAAAAGAAACGAATATAATCTGAATAAAAACTGAAAGTTAATTAACTTCTACTTTTTTTCTGTTCTTGAACTTTTAATGACTAAAGGTTTTCTGTTTTGTTTTAGGTGACCAAGAATCTATAGAGAAATTCAACCGACGTCTTGTGAAAGTGACTAAGCAACATAATGAGGAGGCTCGTGAGTTGTTGAAGCTGATGGGTATACCTGTAGTGCAAGCACCCTGCGAAGCTGAGGCTCAATGTGCAGCACTGGTAAGTCACACTGGGATCAGACCATTGAGACACCAGGATAATGATTAAAGCAGTACCTCTAAAGTTATTTCATGAAATATACCAAAAAGACAAGGTAACAAATATGTCTACTTTTAGATACACCTAGGTATCTACATTACTCTATTTGTGTTCTTCGGGAAAGTATACTCTGGTTTCTGGATAAGAAACTCAAATTTTGTTGCCGTGTTTTCAATAGGAAGTAATTTTTTTTAAATATTTCTTTTTATTACGTGCGTGGGCGTCCACCAATGCTCAACCCACCCATGGATATAATACCAAACAATAATAATAAACACCTCAATCATAACATATATGGACATATGATAACTCATTTTGGTCAGGAATCTATATCCGTAGTTTTCATGAAAGACTAAGAAACATCCAAGCATTCATCCATTCATACAAATCTATCCAGGTGAAAGCTGGCAAAGTATTCGCTACGGCTACTGAGGACATGGACGCCCTCACGTTCGGCACAACTGTGCTGTTACGTCATTTAACCTTCTCTGAAGCTCGCAAGATGCCCGTGAAGGAGTTACACTTGGACCAAGTACTGCAAGGACTGGAAATGAACCAAGCTGAGGTTAGTTCTAACAGTTTTGATCGACTACAGATAAGGAGGAGGTTATAAGTTCCGTTAGAGGATTTTTTTACAGTACAAGGGGCAAACAAACACACGGTGACCTAATGGAAAGTGACACCGACATTTATAAGCGTACCATTTCACAAAAAAAAACCCTTATAGAAAAACATTGTTGTCCGTTCGTCTGCCTACCTGCCTGCCTGTGTGTCTGTCTGTAGAAAAAAAGTTTACAATAAAACCTTGCTAGTATGATTCACACTTCATTCATTGGTGATTATAAAGTACGTTATTTTTTTATATATAGCCAGCGGTGCCCTTCGTCGCTTTACTATGGCACATTGTGCCTTTGTGCATTGTAAATTGATGAGAAATAAGGAACAAATTGACCTGAAAAAAAGATAACATTAATCTTTCAAGCCGGTTGTATATTGTGTCAAAATTTGTACACAAACCACCTTAAACTTTATAAATGCAATGATTAATTAGCATTTTTTTTTTATTTTCAGTTTATAGATCTATGCATACTCCTTGGCTGTGACTACTGCGGTTCAATCCGTGGTATCGGACCGAAGCGAGCTATAGACCTGATCCGACAACATCGCACCTTAGAAGAAGTCCTGCGCAACATTGACACAGCAAAACATCCCCCACCAGACAATTGGGACTACAAACGAGCGAGAGAATTGTTCCTAGAACCTGAGGTCACCGATCCTAAAGAAATTGAGGTCAGTTTGAAAGTCTCGTCTTTGCACTGTACTTATTGAATAATAGGTAGTTGAAGATTAACTGCCTCGGTAGCTCTGAGGTCTCAGGTTCGATTCCGGGGATGGACCAAATATTTGTTTCGGAGTTTGGGTGTTTTCTATGTATAATATGTGTGTATTTATAAAAAAAATATGTAAGTATTCTATCAGTCAATCTAGCTTTCATAGTACAAACTCTGCTTAGTTTGAAACTAGATGGCGTTGTGTGTTAGAATAAAATAGAAATATTATTTAAAAAAATAACTTATATTTTGTTTAATTTAGTATTAATTCACTAAGAAAAAAGTTTTAAAATTTATTTAAGAAATTAGCTATCTTGAACGAATTTTCATAACTTTAGAATAAAACAAGAGAGTTAGCTTTATTTTGGTCTCGCTGGGGGCTGATAGGGACTTCCCTGCTACATCAAAACAGCCTTCCTGGGCAAAATAAATAAATAAATTATGTATTGAAATAAATAAATAAGGTAAAATTAAGTAATGCCAAATTAAATATTAAAGGACGCCAAAGTTTATAGATAGTTAAAGTAGTTTGTGTAACATTTCAACTAAATAGATTCATTCAACAATTCCCAGTTAAAATGGTCAGATCCAGACGAGGAAGGGCTGGTAAAGTTCCTGTGTGGTGACAAGCAGTTCAACGAGGAGCGCGTGCGCAACGGAGCCAAGAAACTGATCAAGGCGCGCTCCGGGACCACCCAGGGACGACTTGACGGATTCTTCACCGTAAGTATAGCTAAGGCCAATTCTAGTAATAAAATACCTTTAATGATAGCTGCGAGATCGAGACTTGAGTGGAACTGAATTTTGACTGAACTTTTATTACGAGAATTAGCATTCTGTTATAACTTGAAAATTTGTAATGCTAGTATTATATCTTTAAACAATAACAATTAAAGTGGCTACCTCGCTAACTTTCTTCTCCCTGTGTATTCAATTCTTAACCAAAACAATGATTTGTGCTTTCATAGTTTATGTATTTAACAAAATCAATGCATATCACATTATATTACTAGTAAACCACTATTATTTTATTTTTAGATATCAACAACACCAAACCCTAAGCGGAAAGCAGAAGAAGATAAAAAGAATGCGGCTAAGAAAAAGAGCAAACCGAGTGGAGGTGGTGGTCGGGGGCGAAAACCGAAATAATGCACCTAATTATACTTGCTGACACACCTTTTCCTTATCTTATAAGACTTGCTGATTGCGAGTGTTATTCCTTCGTGGAGAGACGCAACCTTACAGTTAATACAGGAGTTGGCCAATTTGTGCCCTAGAGTGTACAGAGATTATATTTTTGTAATTGAAATAAATGAGGCAAATGATGAATTCTGAATAGCTTCACAAAGTCTCTAGCAGATTTGAAGAATAGTTCACAAAAAAACTATTTAAAACTGCCTGTGACATATGCAAAAAGACATGCAATATCAGATTTGAGCCCTATTGTTTTTTGTGTGGAGATAGTTGAAGAGTTAAAGAATAACATGCCTATGTTACTTTTCATGGGCTTGGACAGGTGTGTTGGCTCGGTCAGAAGTTAGTAGAATTTTGACATGAGCATACATATAAACCACACCTAATATTATAACTTTGTAATACATTGTGAAACAGTTATCAGTATAACTTTATTCATGATCTGCTATCCTTCATAAAACTTTTTCATTTGTTAATTAGGTTCGAACGTTCAAATAACAGTTATTTGATCTCTGTAAATTCTGAGGTACAGGCTCATACAATTTTTGGCCATCACCTTTAAGCAGTTTTGTAATTAGTACGTGAATCTTATGAATAGCTTAAGTTTTAAGTTTGAACAACATACAGCACAACCTTCGAAAACTCACTACTTAACCTACAGTGTTGGTCTAACACTCGAAGGATTGTCTACATTAGTAATGCGTGACCCACGCTACTATTAATTTCTATTAGAAAAAGAATCTGATGAGCAGTCGAAAGTGTTCATTGCATCAAATCTACCTCAGTATCAGAAATCTGCTACATATATAAAAGGTGGTTGTTGCTTATCTCCGCAAGATGTTGGAGAGACTTGCGGAGATCCGCTACGTAACTTCCTTCCACCGAATCTCAATAGAATTCAACATGGACTTACAAAAGATCCACTTCAAACCAAGTACTAATTTTTTATAACTAAAAACGCGCCGGATCGTGTTATTAGTATAAATCTATTCATTAATGTTTGTAATTATGTTTAATTATTTGATAATTATTAAATAATTGATTAAGCGAAGTTGTTTTATTTTACGAATTTGCTCGTACATCTTTCTTACTCTCCACCACCGACAATTACTACACGTCGCCGTCGCCATGTCGTCTACCATTTTTGTATTTATAAAAGACAACTCCCGCATTAGGAATATATCCTGTGTCGCGGAGGACTTTACAAACATACATGAAACAAACACAAAGAACACCTAGACTCAGAAAAACAACATTGAACCCACAACACTCAGCGTAGTAGAAAGCGGCGTGGCGACCGAAAACCTGAAGGGTACTTCCGGTTGACCTAGAATTGTCAATTTTGGTTAAAAGCAAGTTCTTACAGGACAAGTGAAGAAAAAATTCTGAAAAATAAAAAAAGTTGAAAATTAAGGTAAATTTCAAGTTTTCGCGAAAATCGAAATTTGCCCATATCTTTGTATCGTGTTGGCTTAGGACCATAGACCTCAGTATCGGGTATAAATTTCAACTTGCTAGGTTTGCCCGTTCTTGAGAAAATCGGTGGTGACACACGGACATACTGACAGACGGACAAGAAAGTGATCTTATAAGGGTTCCTTTTTACCTTTTGAGGTACGGAACCCTAAAAATTGAAAATTGCATGTTTTTGAGGTGTTCGAACACAATGTCATGTTTTACACCATATTTTTTCACCTTTTTTGCATAAAAAATATCTTTTAATAATATTATAATCCAAGGTGAATATTTTGTAAAATATTGATCTATAGTTTATAATTATTTTTTTTTGACAAAATCAATCTTAAATTGACAAAAAGGTGTAGGTTTTGTCTAACTTAATCTAACTTAAGAATTTGCTGAGATCTCTGTGGGCGCGCAATCCTCCACGTTACGTTCGTGCGGCCAACTTAAAACCCCTAATTACTTTTTTTTTGTACTTTTACAAATTTTTGACAAAGTTTTTTTCTCTGTTTGGATAACGCGACGGAGCAATCGAAACGCACACGCCCTAGAATGGACGAACAATGTACATATCGTCGATAGACATTATGTTAAAATAACCATTTTGTTTGTTTGCAGACACATATTTTATTGCGTTGGCAAGAAAAAGTGAGAGTAATAATATTTTTAAGTAGGCATTAATGTGTAAATTAGAATAAATCGGTTCATCCTCTCTTAAAACACATTCCACGCGACATATTGGATTGGTGTGCGAGTAAGACTCGCATTTTCTGTTCTTTTCAAGGAATAGATGTGACATATCTCAAATAATTACTTCTGAAACGTAGTGAAACGACAATCATAGAAAACACTATTCTATTCATAAAACAATAACATACATATATAAATCTCTCACATTACAGTATACAAACAGATATTAGTGCGAATTTATTTACATCTACTCGATCGTGGCGGTGAGCACGTTCGGTGTTGTGATTGGTCCGCGCTGCACTCTACACCAATCATAGCGCCGAACGCGGTCACCGTGACGATCGAAAATATGTGAAATAAACTCGCACTTGGGCCTCAGATGCACTTACAACTAGTGTCACGTGCAACTTGCACACGAATAATAAACGATTAAATAAAATCAGTCAAATCAGTTTCTCTTTGTTGAAGAAAGTAGCAACTTGGATGACATAATGGTGTATGACGTCAACCCGTCAATAAAACCAAATATTCAAAATAAAGAATCAATTTTTTTAGTATTATATTCAACTGACTTTCCTGGAGTATAATTTAATTTTAGGCAATCACTACCTGTACGAGTCGATTCGCTAATGGTTCTGGAATTCTCTTATACAATTTCTAGCTATGAAAATAGATGTTGTATATTATCATATTTTAGTTATCTTAGTCGCATACATCCTATTAGCATATGTATATACGTATAAATAAGTATATTTTCTTACAGTTCAACGCACGATATCGATCACATATTGCTCTTATTATAATTATTAAACATGATTTATGTCATTATAAATAATATTTATTATTATCATAAAATGCAGTTTCTAAAAAAACATGTTTGCAGAATACACTTTTACGTATAATTAAGTACAGAAAATGTGCGTGAATATTAAAAATGTCCTTAGTTTATATATCAATACAATATTTCGGCGAAACGAGTATTAAACACTTTAATCCTACATCATCCCATAAAATCAAACAGTCTGACAGGGTTGTTCCCGGGTGAATATTACGTATTTTTAATTCAACTTAAGCAATTTGTTTAGGTGGTTTTGTTATGTGCAATGAAGGTGTAATACAAAAAAAATATATTTGAAAAAAGATTTAAAAGTAAATATGTGTAACTTACATCAAGTTCGTGACAGAAATATAAAAACTTGGATATTTTAACTTTATTTTAATTTGATGACTAAGATTTTAGATAAAATATTTACTATAATTTTCAGATAATTATTAGTGATTATTGGTGTGTACCAAGTGTGCGTGCCTGTTTGTTACCAAAGAACACACACACGCAAGGGCCTGAAAATACTCTTTGTAAAAGTGTAAAGATGATGGTGGATTTCTGATGATGATGAATAAATCTATACCGTACAACTGTATCCAGCAAACGTCTACAAAAGGAATTTAAAAGTTAGCCTTCAAGAAATTAATAAGACCATTTGTGGAGCCGTCGTGCGAGGTGACAGGCGCGTTGTCCTGCAGTTCCGGTTCTATGGCCTTGGCGAGCTGCTTACCGAGCTCCACCCCCCACTGGTCGAAGGAGTTGATGTCCCAGATCACCCCTTGGGTGAAGATCTTGTGTTCATATAAAGCTGTTGACAGAAAGAAGATGAATTTACATTAAACTAACTTGCAATTTTCAGAATAAAATTGTACATTTTTATTTTTAGAAGCGTAAAAATACATGGGTGTGTTTTTAATTGGGTATAGGGTTTGTGTCAAGTTTTCCTTCTCTTTGCGGTGTTGTAATTGTCCTTCGTAGTTATGACACCCACGTGATGATTAGGGGTGGTGACACTCCGTATTCTTAATTTGTCACCACACGGACGGTACAAAGGACGGACAAGTTTTGTATTAAAGAAACTTCTCTGTCTCTCTTGAAAAACAGTAAAGTATAAATAAAGTCACACAATGTCTACGCCATCAGACCCTTGCCTGAATTTAATCATTGTGGTCACAATATTTTGTCTATAACACCTGTTACTTACCAATAAGAGCGCCGAGAGTGAAGGGAGTCACTTTCTTCACTACGATAGAGTTGGTGGGCCGATTGCCCAAGAACACCTTGTGAGGAAGGATCTTGGCTACCGCCTCCGGAGCCATGCCTGACTTCTCCAGCTCGGCTTTAGCCTACACATTACATATGTATACACAAATCTTCTCTGATACTACATAGAGAACATATTTAACGAGAATATTAACAAATGATAATTCCACCAGACTGGGTTATAAATACTAAATAAATGGCCAAATAATATACCCTCTAAAAAACTGAATCGAATCTAACAACTCTATGTGGATACCCCTTACACGGTTCACGCTATAGAGCGTGTCTAAGAATAGAAATTAGCTACTACATTGTATTTCAGAACATGAAGTCTTTACATTTTATATGTAAAAATAATCTGACACACCTCACACACGACCGTCTGATCCTAAAATGGGCAGAACCTGTGATATGGTAATCAGACTGCTGATAAACTTACTTATATATTTCTAAATACATACATATTATAGATAAATTACACCCAGACACAGAACATAACATCGTGCTCATCAGACAATTAGTTGTTCTGTGTGGAAATGGAACCCATGACCTATGATTCAGCATTCAGAGTCACTAACCACTAGACCAACATGCCAGTCATCTTAAAAATATTTTTTATTATAAAGAAGTTCCTACCTTCTAATACACTAGTAATTTACTAATAAAAAGAGGAATTAAGAAACTTCAATTATTTTTAACATCTAATACTAATCTGACGCCTCGTGTGACTATAAGGTCCACTCACCTCATCCGCAGTCTTCCCTTTCATGAGCGCCTCGGTCTGCGCGAGGAAGTTGGCGAGAAGGATCTTGTGGTGCACTCCACCAGATATAGGGTTGTGCGTCTGCGCTGGGGCTATGAAGTCACACGGGATCAGTCTGTTTAAATATCACTCAGTTAATTAGTAATTTATAGTAATTTTAATGTCAAATTAAACAATGAATTTAAATAACCTTAATCAAGACATACTGAACCAGTATCACACCGTTAGGGTACACATGCGGTGGATCGACCAGGTAAAATCCGCAAAAGGGAACCGCGTGTTGACTGTATCCGACAGTCTGCCAACAGGGAGAACGGTGCGGCTGCGGTAAGGTGGCCATCTCAATGTGACCACGCTCTGCCAAGAGCGACTCGACAGAGAAGAAGAAGGACCTAAGTTGGTCCACAGGGGACAAAGTTAGTAATTCAAAATGACTTTGAATGTGAAGTCGCAGGTGGACTTTTTAGTCCATACTAGATGCGTAGCCTTTAGGGAATTTTCAGCTAAAGCTGGACTTGCAGAGCAACCCAGGAACAGATTTGGGGGTGGCAAGCAGGGCAACCACTCAGGGCCTCGCTTATGCAGAGGCCTCACGCAACAACGCAAGTATTAAAATGTTTATAGATTTACGTTTAGAGATTCTCCGTTTTTCATTCCACCTGTAATTTTTCGAACAGCAGCATGAGATGCAATTTTGCTTATAAGTATCATCATTAAAACTAATTTCACAAAGACAAAAGCCTCGCAATGATCTACCAGCCCAGGGCCTCGCAATAATCTATATGTCCGGGTACCCTAAATTACCAATAATAATGTTACCCCTCTAACTAAGATAAAGTACTTGCCTATTTTAAAACTGAGTTTAAGACAACAATAATGGGCTTGATTCGAAGTCACAGCCACTTGATCGCAAGTTCATCTTTAAGCAGTTACTCTACTACCGTTTCACACTTACCTGGTACCCTGGTGTATGAGCTGGTAGAAGGCGTGCTGTCCATTAGTCCCGGGTTCACCCCAAACTATAGGTCCCGTACTGTAGTCCACTTGCGAACCAGAGCGGGTGACATATTTGCCGTTACTTTCCATATCGCCTTGTTGGAAGTACGCAGCAAACCTGTAAAAAGACAGTTATTTTGTTTACTTGTTTACTGACGGTATCGCAGTACCCGAGAAATCTTATAATAAACTGACTGGACTGATAAAGTCTACACACCGCTACCGAAGCTGCGAATAAAAGCTAGTAAAGTAATAAAAGCCTCAAATATACTATCTATCTCTAACTTCATTTACTAGTGGCAAACTGTTTAAGCAGCCTTTGGTAAGTTGACTTAAAATTTAAACAAACGCTTTCAAGTTTCTAAGGAGACTGCAAACTATAAACATAATAGTACTAGTACAGAAGTTCCACTAAGAAAAATCGCGCGCCATACATTGGAATTTGGCGCCAAACATCAACAGTGTCACTCTCACAGTAAATACGTATCTAACGACACCTCTCTCAAGCTGAAATCCATAGAGCCGTTCAGGCCGCAGAGACAATTATACATACCCTAAAATAACACTCCTTCTGAGGCAGTCGGGTAAAAATAATTTTTGGAAATAGCATCCCTAAGAGGGTAAAAAATCGTCATTTACAAAGTTAGAACACGAAACAATATTTACTGACGACCGAATGGCGTAGTGGTTTGTGTAACGGACTGCTATTCCAAAGGTCGCGTGTTCGATTCCCGCTCAAGTCAAACATTTGTGTGCATGAACATTTAATGTTTGATTTGGTCTGGGTGTTTCTTTGTATAATAAGTGTGTATTTACAAAAAAAAAAGTATATATGTACATATTTATATGAGTTATCTAGTACCCATAGTACAAGCTCTGCTTAGTTTTGGACTAGATGGCGTTGTGTGAATGGGGTACAATATTATTATATTGTATTATTATTACCTGTGTAGATATTGGTCATAAGGCAGCAGCGCATGTGTCTCTGCGCCGTAGAAGTTCGAGTACCACACCCCGAGCAGAGCTAAGATTACAGGAGCCTGCAACAAATACATTATATAAGTATTATTGGACAATGACATTACAAGTCAGTCTAACGAGCCTATCGTTAGTGACTTGTAAAATTTCAAGTTATTATTTGCTTTATTCTTACATTTTTCTCAAGTGGTGCAGTTGTATAATGGTTGTCCATAAAGTTGGCCCCTTCTAGAAGCTTCTCGAAGTTATCATATCCGATGTACAGGGATATAGATAGACCGATCGCAGACCAGAGCGAGTACCTTGAAAAAATGGTTTTTAATTTCTTTTAATATAGATAGATATTTTGAGGCAACTTCCACATACAAAACAATAACATACTACAACGCCATCTAACGAACACACGCCGAACTACGGAGTATCGGCTAATCCTGTATCGCGATATGAAAAGGTTTCACGCCAATTAGCATTTTATATAAGTTGCCCACTAGGCGTTATCACCTCGCCAGGTCGGAGGAACCGTCCTTCGTGACGAGGGGTAATAACAAGCTTTCTTCCACAATTAATAATATGATATTTTATATTAATCATAGTTAAACTTTTAGTAATTAAAAAAAAACATTTTACTCCTTTTTTAATGAGGTACGTACATACTATGTATTTCTAAGTTATTATCCTGCATTTGTTTACCTGCCACCGACCCAGTCCCAGAAGCCGAACATGTTGTTCGCGTCGATACCAAACGCCGTCACTTTCTCCGCATTAGTCGACAACGCCACAAAATGCTTCGCCACCGCCGAAGGCTATACAAGTAATGTTGGTAATGATTAATACGTTATACGGTAAAGTAAAAAAACAGCAACAATATTACAATTCAAAGCATTCCTTTTTTCAAAAGAAAATTTAAGAGTTTTTAATCAATAAATTATAAAGATACCGCAGCCTCACTGAAGACCGGTTTAAGCAGTAATCAAGTTGCATTTCACCGTATGACTGAATTTACAGGAGTGCCATACCCTCTCTCACTCCCTTAAACTCAAACTTAAAATATCTGCATTTCATAAAATTATTTTCAATCGTTTTTTATTATTTGAAATTATTCGAAAATTATTTTAAATATTTAGTACATTTGTCAAGTTAGGAGTAACAAAAAACATTTTGCATGCCTATGGGCCGATTTCGCAAAATAAATTATTTGAGTTGAAAAAAATATGACTCATACTTGACTTTCAGGAAAGAAAACGTCCGACGAGACTTCATCTCTTGATAAGGATCGAGTCGAGTCCTAAACACACACGTGAGTGCAACCGAGTATCTATAATAAATTTGAAAGTATATTTGTATATCTTTGTGTCCGTCCCATGTATGTTTCTAAAGTCAGTCACGACACGAGATATATTTCTATTTTTTTTTCTTATAGAAAAAGAAAAAAACCAAAGAAAATGATACCCAGGCACAGAACAAACGATCGTGGTCATCACACAAATATTTTTCCTGGTTTGGAATCAAACATATATGTATTTTAAATTATCTTATTGATAATATTATTCCAATTGTATAAACAAAGTGGTATTTTGTAAAGGCATATCAAGGAAATGTTGAGTGGTGCAACACTACACATTTAAAAGAATTTACTGTATTATGGGAAAGTGTAATTTTAATAATAAAAATATTCCGTATAATAGGTAGATGTTTAATGTAATAAAGATTACCAGGAAATGTACATCAGATTTCCTCATTATAGAGATAATGTATACATAGTGATGCCTACATTAAGTTCCACTCGTGAAAATAAGCATTTCGTAAAAAGTGTAGACACAATGGGTATTCTGTGGTATTCTGTCTACATTTTATGCAGCGGGGTGTGCTTTTTTTCACACAACAAGTATCTAAAATACGTGGAGGAGAGGGAAGAAAGAGCTACAAAAATAACATTGGGATATAGATCGTTCATTGTCAAAAGCTTTCATTTTATACTTTCGAAAATAATAGAAATAATTTTAATAGGAGATATAAAATGGCCATATAGTAAGATTTAATTTGTTTCCGATTTCAACGTACATTACTTTACATTACTCGATTTACACAACTGAATGGGTTATACCTGGTTATATGGGTCTTTCAATTTGATCGAAACTTTATGTAAATAAAAAGTTATGTGAAATCGTCTCAATTTTGTTAAATACCAGTAGAGCACAAAATATATTACTTACGTCTTTGGCCGCCTCAAGGAACCACGTCTTGGCTGAAGTGGCGTTGGTAATCGTCTCCTGGGTTGTGAATGTCTTGGAGGCGATGATAAACAGGGCCGTCTCGGGGTTCAGACGTTTGAGGACCTCCGCCAGGTGTGTGCCATCGATGTTTGATACGAAGTGTACCTAAAGTAAATTGTGTATGTGATCAATCATCATCAATAGTCCACTGCTGGACATAGGCCTCACCTTAGAAAGGTGATTTTGGCGCTTGTCAGAAGGGTTGGGTAGGGTTTGTGTTAAGATTTCCTTCTCTGTGCAATGCTTTTGTCCTGCGTAGTTTCCTCCCTTAGACGGCTCTAACGACACCCACGGGATGAATAGAAGTGGTGACACTGCGTATTCTTAATCCGTCACCACACGGACGATTATGTGTGTAGTTGAATGGAAGTACTTTGACTCTTTTTATAGTATGGTGGGTTTATGGTATGGAATAGGGAGCAACATTTTTTATGGCAGATGGGTCACCTGACAGTTACTGCCGCCTACGGACTTGCAGTTTAAAAGTCACAAGTGTGCTGTAAGCCTTTGAGTGCCCTCGCTGAAATTAGGAGAATGAGGGAGTTTAGACGTTTGAAAACCTCGCTCAGTAAGTGAAAAGAGTAGGTAGTTCACTATAGAGATTTTTGAGGTTGCGAGTGATTATAGCCACCGATGCATTTTATTACATCTACTGTGATTACATAACATGTTATCTACTATTCTCACGTAAGTCACGCTATCTTTATGAATTCTTTGAAGTAGCATCTTAAAAAAGACTGCATTGCTTGATACATAAATACAATTATCAATTTGCGAATTGATAACCTTTTCAATGTGGTTTTCACGATGATATTGCATGACATCTGTGTTCTTGTGTCATCTGTGTATTGACACTTAAATGGTAGTTCAGGTTTTTTTTTTATTACAATACCATTAATACGCTATTTTTTTCGTGCAGAAATCCTCTCGAATAAACCGAACCGACGAAAGACCGCACGCCGTCTCTGGTACCGGGAGCCGGGGAACCAGGTGTGACCTAAAAAGGAAAGCCCTAGTTTCCCGACGACAAAAGTCACGAATGTGTTGCCGAACTTTAGGGTGGGAGTACGCTCTCTTCTTGAACGCTTGAAGGTCGTATCGATCCGGAAATTTCGAGGACAATTTGTTCCACAGGTGGAGTGCTAAGTATCTAAACGATTGATGGATGGAAATCCTTTGGTGTCAGTAGCAACAGTTTAAAAAGAAAAATCCTAACTAATAATATGTACGTTCTACTAATAATATGTCCGTGTGGTGACGGATTAAGAATACGGAATGTCACCACCCCTATTCATCCCGTGGGTGTCGTAAGAGCCGACTAAGAGCGCAAAACAAGGCAGCACACCAGCACTGCAAAAAGAAGGAAAACTTGACACAAACCCTATACCAACCCGTCTGGCCAGCGTGGTATAGTAGGCCAAAACCTCCTTTCTAAGGAGAGGCCTATGTCCAGCAGTGGACTATTAAAGGCTGTTGATGATGATGATGAATAATATGTAATTGAATCTGTTTGTTTATTACAATCTCACGCTTTTACATATCATCTGTTATTGCATTATGATATAAATCGATCTAAGTGGCGTGCAATGGGAGAGGCCTATGTCCAGCAGTGGACTGCGATAGGCTGATGATGATGATGATGATGATGATGATGATAAAGCAGTCACTATAAGGTACCGTTCATACAGAACAAAAGATGCTGTTACCAACAGAAATGTGATATGGTTGACAAATTTACATTAACAAGAGTGAAGACGTAGCTGTAGTGTATGTGCATTTGCACAATAAAATGAATAATTCTCACCTTGAGGTGATTGGCGTAAGGCTTTAGTGCTTCCGTGACCATGAGGGGACCCAAGTCTGATCCTCCAATCCCGATATTGATCACATCCGTAATGGCCTTGCCTGTATAACTAAAATAATAGAAATATTATAATTTCTAGCAAAATAAAAACTTACTTGTGAAATTGTTTAACTGCAATAATAATATCCACAAAAATAATAATTTTACATTTCTTAATTTTCATTGTTATATATGCATTTTGTGGCAATTGTGCTGATGAATTCTTCACTACAATATATTGATAACTTTACACATGTCACACATGGCTATCCAATCCCTTACTAGGCAGAGCCTGTTCTTAGGTAAACGGACTTCTGATAAACAGAGTTATAAATTTCTAAATACATACATATTATAGATAAATTACACCAAGACACATAACAAATGAATGTACTTATGACAATTTTTTTTGTCCTGGGTGGGAATCGAACCCATGACCTCTTGCCAGTCAATATGAAACAGAAAATGGCAAATGGAATCACTATAATACTAATAGGCAAGAGTTCCCCATAATGACTTGGCCACTAAAATGTTTTTTTTTTTATTTTAACTTACCCTTTCCACTGTCCACTCACAACTTGTCCAGTAAATTCCTTCATGTGTGCCAGCACTGCATTCACATCTGGAGTTACATCCTTACCGTTTACCAATATCGGACGGTTTTGTCTGTTTCGAAGAGCAATATGCAAAACAGCACGGTCTTCCGTGAAGTTTATTTTTTCCCCTGTACAGAAACACAATGATTGTGATTATTAAAAAAACCTTACATCATGCTGATCATTTCTTCGTGTTACAAAGCTAAGTAGCCTACATATTTAAAAAATAAATTTAGAAAAAGAATTTAATATCTAATTCTGAATTTAAAGTTGTTAATTCCAAGAGTGTTGCTACACTTTTAAATGTCTGGGTAATGTTCTATAGGTGAATGAGTTAATTTTAATAAAAGATACATACCTGAGAACATGGCATCTCTAGCCTTCTCAACATTGCGGCTTTTGGCAAGACTAAGCAGCAGGTTCCATAACTCATCATTGATGCGGTTTTTGGAGTAATCCAGTAAGATGTCTCCGTCAGAAGGTGTAGGGATGCGAAGACTGTATGTAAGTTTTAGAATTATATTTGATATGAAATAGAATAAAATAATTCGTGAGTGGTATCAAGGAAGTTAGGAAGTACATGAGAAAATAATATAAATTATAAAAATTCGTTGTCAACAATTAAGAGGAAGTCTATGAACAAGAATTTTAAAGTGAAACAAATTTATCCTTTTGGAATAAAAAAAAACAAGGGAATCCAATTGTCATACTTTTAATACAGTACATAAATTATTATATACTAATGAGTCTTAGAAAAACATTTCAAAACCGACACGAAATTAATAGTATTTGGTGGAATAAATTTAATTCATTAACAAACCTGAACTTGTTGAAGCGATCGGAGTCTTGTTGGAATAATTTTTGTATATTTATTTGTGCACCGTTCGCATGGTAGAATTTCTGAATTTCTACGTACGCGGGATCTTGTTTTAAATTAACTTTCGGCTCCATAGTTATAACTGGAAAGGTACGGGTCACCAAAGTTCGGCTTCTTCGGTGAAACTTCACCAAATCTGATGATAGCAAATGTCTTATTGACATTTCAATGATAAGTGAAGGTCCTTTGCGTTTCGTTTTTGCAGTTTTCAAATTTTAACATTTGTACAAAATATTGTTTGTTTTTTGTCTTGGTTACAGCTTCAAGTACTACCCACTGATCATCATTTTATAGCTTCCTCAAAAAAAATAACACAGGTATAACAACGTACTCTTACTTCCAGCAAAGCAAAAGGATGTTAAAAATAAGACAACGATAATGTGATTCGGACTAGCTAATTGATCGTTGATCCAGTGGTTAAGGCTGATGTTTAAGCTGACGAAAGAAAGAATAAACAAGAAAAATAATATTGTGATAAGTATCTACGATCGATTGTTTTGTAAACGAACTGCTAGAAAGCGCCCTATGTAAGACTACATTGTTGTGGTGATAATTTCAGTGCTAAAATCTTATGGCTAGAATCAGCTGCAGGCATATTTTTGGTTTAAATAACCAAAAATATGCCTGCAGCTGATTCTAGCCATGTGATTGCTTGTAATGTATATAAATATTTAGTATGTATAGTTGTAAGTAGGTATATGAACATAAAATAAAACAACATTTGTTAAACTTAACTTTTTATTAGGTATATTAAGGATAATTAATAAAAAAAAGTTATACATCGGTTTCGTACCCATACATTTTATATATGTCTATCAATTTCCTAGAATTCATATCAATCCGTTATTTATTATCTTTAAAAAGGCGGTTGTTTGTCCTATTTTTAAATCTGGGGACAAGCAAGAACCTTCGAATTACCGGCCCATCTCCCTTTTATCAACATTATCAAAGATACTGGAAAAAATTATTAACAAAAGGCTGATAGCGTACTTAGAAACTAACAAAATTCTTAGTGATCGCCAGTTCGGATTCAGGCATCAAAAATCTACAGAAGACGCAGTCCTTACGCTCACCTCTACTGTGGTATCGCACCTGGATAGAGGAGAAAAATGTTTAGGAGTTTTTCTAGACCTGCAAAAAGCATTCGATACTGTGTCCATACCAATTTTATTGTCACGCCTTGATAATGTTGGTATTAGGGGGGTGGTGCTAGACTGGTTTGAGGATTACCTGACTGATAGATCCCAGGTTGTCAAAGTGGCAAATCACGTAAGTGAGGAGTCCACCTACAATTACGGTATTCCGCAAGGTAGTACGCTTGGCCCATCTCTGTTCCTCATTTATGTGAATGACTTGTGCGGCACTGCCTTACCAGGATTGGATATGATAATGTTTGCTGATGACACGGTGTTGATATGCTATGCAGCTACCTGGAAGAAAGCATTTGATATGGCTGCGAGTGGATTGGCTACAGTCACGGCTTGGTTGGAAAACAGTCTCCTGTCGTTGAATACTAACAAGACCAAGTATGTCTGTTTTAGCATAACATCTGTTAGTAATCCTCCTCCTGAATACTGTCTCAAAATACACACCTTTCCTTGTAACCGGAATACAGATAGGCATATATGTGACTGTGCAACACTGACGCGTGTAGCCTCCATAAAATACCTAGGTGTAACAATAGATGATCAACTGAAATGGAACCTCCACCTCATGTCAACAACTTCGAGGGTTAGACGACTTATACATATATTTAAGAGCCTGCGCGTAATAGCTGACGTCCCGCTTCTCATACAATCTTATAGAGCGCTATGCGAATGCCTTATAAGGTACTGCATATGCGCCTGGGGTGGTGCCGCTAAAACCTTCATGATTAATGTAGAACGCGCACAGCGCGCTGTTTTAAAAGTCCTTTTATACCTACCATATAGATATCCCACGACTGCACTTTATGAATATACAGAGGTATTATCTGTAAGGAAGTTATATATTTATGAAACACTACGGAGATATCATAGGAAAACAGTCCCTAACTTACCTGCACAAAATAAAAGAGTAGAACGGTTTCCAGTCCCTCGTACTAAAACTAGTTTTGCACAAAAACAATACAAATTCTTAGCTCCACATATATTTAACAAATATAACAAAATCGGTAAAATTAGTAAACTAAATAACCATGCAGTAAAAAAGGCCATCCTTACGTGGTTAAATTCATTAAATTATGACAGCACTGAAGACATAGTCACGAATAAATATACGTAACAAGCAAGGCATTCACATACACACAAAAATTCAAATGCACGCACATACACACATGCACGCTCACACACGCACCCGCTCGCACACACGCACCCCCAGACACACGCACACACACACAAACACAGACACACACACACATACACACACAAACTGGGTAATTAAAGTTAATATGATGATTTTTATGTTTAAGTTTTTATTTTTTTTGAGTTTCTTTTTGTTTTGTTAGTCTTTTTTTTTTTTATTGTATTGCTTATTTAACTATGACATAGAGTTCTTTATATTACGTGCGGAAAACACTGTCTCCTGCAACACAGTTTAAACTAGCGCAGGAGCCAGGGGATTCTCAATCATATGTGTACCAACTTAAATGTCAATAAATTATTATTATTATTATTATTATCTATGTATGAATTTTATATACCTAGTACACATGACTTATTGCTAAAATAAAATCTTTAAAAAAAGTACCTAGGTATCACCAACTTCAATACGTCTACATAATGATGGATTGTAATAAACTGTATTCTTCATTTCTTAATGTGTACCCTCCCTCCACCCTAAGAGGTAAAACTTGCTTCACTTCCACACTTCAAAAATGTGTGTGAATGAGACCAATAAGATAATCCAAATCCGTTAATAAATGATGGAGATCAGATATAACTGCTTTTTTTGTGTGTGTAGATAGGCTGCTCTCAGCATAGGTAGGTGTGCACTTGCAGGTCGGTAGATAATACATTGGTTATGCTAGGAAATAATAATATTGATTAATTAATGCAATACAAAATGTTGTGAAGAAAGTTTTGACGGATTTAAGGGTAGAGGACGACCAAAGAAAATATGGATAGACTGCGTGAAAGACGATATGGGTAGAAAGGGAGTAAACAATGAACTGGCTTGTGATAGAGAAGAATGAAAGAAGATAACTCTTTGCGCCGACCAGCCTTGGATCTACGGGGAGGGGGCGGCCGAACCGGGGCACCGGCCCGGGTGGCAGTTTCAGGGGCGCCAATATCATAATATAATACTGTTGAAAAAAAATAATATACAGACTATAAGGAACGTCGTAACGAAAACTGAAATGGTGTATTCAGACCATGATTATGAGTCAAAAATTATTGGCATCTTAATAATTATTATATTGAAATATAACTATTGAAGTCTTAATACTCTTAATACACTATTTCAGTATTCAACGTCCTAACTCTCTATTGTTACCTCCCAACAACGAAAAATGTCTACCATCATTATATATTTGTGAGTTTTTTAAGTTATTTATCTGAAACGTTGGAGAGAGGGGCGCTATTATTAAGTTTCGGCTCCGGTTCGAAAAAGTCGTAGATCCGGAGGGAAAGGGCTCTGTATTTATGCCATAAAGAAATTTCGTAGTTGAACACCAAGGTCCTATACATTTCAATATATGTTGGTGGGTACTCACAATATCAAGGGGATTGTATTTCAATAAGACGTACGGACCCTATAAACCAATTTATCATTAGCATTGTTTCACCTTTAAAACATTAAGATATAAAAAAAATTGTATCAAGAAAAAAACTCACTTATTCTCAAGTGCAAACAAAAATAAATGGTATTCTAATAAAACTATAGAACTAAATTATATTGATATATTTTTAATATTAAACATTTAAATTAGCTATATATTTTAAAACATTTAAGTTAAATGTTATTTATGGATTAATATAGAAATATAATAAATGAAACAAAAATGTGTAAAAGTGTGTGTTATGTGTGTTAAGGTGCAATTAGCGCGTCATTCAGAGGAGGAACGAAATGTCTCTTTAAGCTGCTCCCTCCCTGTCCTGTCAATTTTATTAAGCCCAGAAAGCTATCTTGCCTTTAGAAAAACAATTGTGCTAAAATTATAGTTTAAAACGGCATTGTAGATGCAAGAAATACACGCACATACGAAATTAACGTTAAACATAAAAAAATAATTGTGACATATTTATGACAAATGCGTTCAAAGGATTAAGGTTTTTGATCACATGGTTTAAAAAACCTAAAAATAATCAAAATTACTTTGTATTTTTTCCAATAATTGTGATGAATCTACGTTTTTTCACAATATATTTAAATACTCAAGAAGTAAACTTAGTTTCTTTTCCTTTTTTAAGTTTAGTTTGATAAACATTTATCGCAATAAATCGCAAGAACGTTTTTTATGATGATTAATTTACGATGACTGGCCTGTTGGTCTTAGTGACCCTGACTGCTATTGCAAAGGTCGTGGGTTCGATTCCCTCCCAGGACAAATAATTGTGTGATGAGCACGATCGCTTGTTCTGTGTCTGGGTGAATTTATCTATAATATGTATGTTTTTAGAAATATATAAGTATGTTTATCAGCAGTCTGGTTACCATAGTACAGGCTCTGCCTAGTTTGGGATCAGACAGCCGTGTGTGAGATATGTGAAACTATTATTGTTTTTTGGATGTCTCAGGGCCGTATATGGGAATAACTATTAAAACTGTTTTAGAATGTATGAATCTTTACATGGATAAAGAACACAGATGTGACTAAGATCGCAGGTGAAACTGCGGGGCACTACTAGTTTTACAATAATTTACTTCTTTTTTAAATTATATCTTTATTCATTAGCATTATTCCTATATTTAGGTTAATTTACAAGAAATAAATACATATATGGGCATTAGGAAAACGTAACATCATTTTGAGAACAATTTATAGCTATCACAATTTTTTTAAAGGCGACAAAAATTTCTTATATATTAAAATGATATATACACCTGTATAGCAACTACTGAAACTAATGATGATTTTTTGTCATCCGTATAGAGGTTTGTTCATTTGTAAATGTCTATGGGACACCACCAACAGCCTATAACTGTCCACTGCCGGACATAGGCATTATTATTATTATTTTTGTCTATAGGACACAAGTTTTGTATTTAATAGATTCATAAAAACGTACATAAACGTCTGTTTAAATAACACACTTGAAATCCTTGTTGTAAAATAGATATTTAATTAACTTTTCTTTTTTTTTTATGTTAGAGGGGGCAGACGAGCAGACGGGTCACCTGATGGAAAGTGACTATCGCCGCCCATGAACGTCTGCAACTCAGGAGTCACATACGCTTTGCCGGCCTTTTAGGAAGGAGTACGCTCTTTTCTTGAAGGTTTGAAGGTCGTATCGGTCCGGAAATACCTCAGACGATATCCCGTTCCACAGATTGCATAGAGTGCTATAGGTATTGGCTGTTTTTTATAAGTAAAGATTTATCACGATCACTTTTTGGACGATGGTAGGTATTTGGTGTTGTAATTATATTTCTTTACACATCGATGTGCAGCATATTCAGTCTCACTTTCCTGCAACCTGTGGGAGTGATGCGTCAAAGGGGACGGAAGTTCGTAACAGGAAATGGGGAAGCGCGTGCTATTTGATTTGACCAATGAGCGCGCGGTGCTGAAGTCGACGGACAGATGGTACGCGAGTTGTCAGATGTTATTCGTCGTATGCACATACTTACTGTAAGGCTAGTCTGATAATATTAATTTTTTTACATTAAATCAATCACTAAGTCTTTTAAGCTTCTTTTCACTCGTTCGTAGTAAGATGGGAGATAAAATGATGAACTCCAGTCAGTATTGTAAAGTACCGCAAATTCTTACAATTATAAATCCACAATGTTCGGATATTAAAACATGTTAAGCACCTGAATGGAGTTATTAAGTAAAAGTAAAAGTTATTCGATAATAGGTTTCCATGTAGTGATGGAAATAAATTGTTATTCTAAAGCTACTGGTAGGACTACACTAACTTTGGAACTTTTGTGTTCCGTAATATAAGGGACTTAATGCGATCATGTAATAGGTACACAGGCTGATTGTGTCATTCAGCCTGTGACTGCGGCCAGGGCAACCAGATCGAAACGTCAGACAATTCAGTCTTTAACGAGTTTACGTTAATTCCCGTACGTATATACAAAATTATGTACGAGTAAGATTCATGAGCTTAAGTAGAATAATTAAGTTATTTTAAAAGTTATAATCTCCATTTACTGTACATTAAGGCGTTGCTTAGCCGATTAAATTGAATCTGAGTAAACAGCTGGCGAGAGCAGTTTTTTTAAAGGGGATTTTTTTTAGTTAATCAACTTTAAATAAAAAAAAACAAAGGTGTATTTAATATAAATATAATAACTATTTCCAATAAATGATCTTTTAATCCTATTCAATTTTTCATTGTCAAAACAATGTTTTCATTTTAAATAAATCATAATGATGTTGTAAATAAAACATAATTCTTCCAGTTTTAAATAAATAGTTTCATTTTTACCTGAAGGGTTATGTCTTTCGAGTGTAAGTATGTATGTATGTATATTTCTTTGGCACGCCCTAAACCGCTTGATGGATTTTAAGCGTTTTGAGCTGTCGTTCGAATCGTCTTAATTGTGAGACACTAGGTATAATGAAAATAGGGTTTGTGTTTTTTTTTTAAATAATGAGCTTGTTTACATAAGGCTACCCAATGAAATGTTTTTCAATAGACAAAATAGACGTCAAATCGATTATAAAATGAACCATTTATTCTCTTAGTCTCAAGCAAGCTATCTTCCATCATGACTTGTGTTGCTGTCTTTTTGACGTGTAAATGCCATTATTTATAAGGTCAAATGATAATTCTGGGCACGGAAGACCCAAAAGCTGGTCCGCTAGCAACTCATCCTAGGATGCAACACAAGCATGGGGCCTTTTCACATAAACAAATTTAAGTTATCTAGGCTAAAAACTAAAACTCCGGTGGTAGGTAGGAGTATTAAAAAGGTCCCTATGCCGCTTGGATTACAATTGACCATTCTAAATGATCCAACTGGGTATAGCGAGGAGCCATTGGATGAAAGTGATAACCGACCATTGATTGATGATGTATTCGATGATAAACATTGAGTTGATATGATTATCTTATTGAATAGGACTTTACATTGAGTATATACTTGCCAACAGTTTATTTATATGTATAACTTTACAATGTATGCTCTAGTCCGTATTAAAAATAATTTGGCGGTTCTAGACAGATTAATTTACAATAAGATCTCTTATATATAAAAGGTGTCACGACGTACATTACTCATATAATACTATAGACCTTATTCCGAGGTGATAAAAACCAATTTAGTTTCACTAAGTCGTTTCTCACTAGATGTTGAACTATACTTCTAAATCTCATACAAAAGGCGATGGATATTGCGATTAAATAGTGACTTATTTTACTTGATGTTACAAGGCTATCAAAAGTGGCATTTTGAACCTAATCACGATTCAATAAACATGAATTTTCTGAATCACAAGTTAGATGAGTGCGAAGCCTTTCGTGTCAAGTCAATACGATGCGTATTACAAGGTGATAAAGATCCTTTTCCTGTGCAGCGCGACTCCGACGGCGAGCCAAATGAGCATGGCGGCGGCGTGCACGGCCAGCAGCTGTCCGTGCGTGGGGCCGTGCAGCGCCCAGTGCAGCGGGAAGTTCTTCTTCAGGAGCTCGCTGCCGATGTACAGGAACAACGCGTTTTGACCTGAAGCAATACCGAATTTATATGTAATTTGTCTTGTAGGTTGAACCTCTAATGTACGGAATGGACTCTCAGATGGTACTATTAAAGTCACTTTCGATAAAAGAGCAACTTGATGATGGTGGCAATTATTATGTCAAAAATTCCTTCATCAACAGCCTTTAATAGTCCACTGCTGGACATAGGCCTCTCCTTAGAAAGGAGGTTTTGAGGAGACAAATTCCTTATTGCTTCCTTATTACAATTATATTGTTATGACATCCACGAAATTTGACATCATGCATTTCGATAACATCGACTATCGACTGGTAACAACCTCATAACCTGTCTATAAGTGCGTGAGAGAGAAAGTTTAATTTTATACCGCTTATGACCTAATGTTAAGCAGCTAAATAAATTTACGACCAAGTGTCATCATCATCACATCATCAACAGCCTTTAATAGTCCACTGCTGGACATAGACCTCTCCTTAGAAAGGAGGTTTTGGTCTACTATAACACGCTGGCCAGACGGGTTTTTATAGGGTTTGTGTAAAGTTTTCCTTCTTTTTGCAGTGCTGGTGTCCTGCGTTGTTTTGCGCCCTTAGTCGGCTTACGACACCCACGGGATGAATACATTCCGTATTCTTAATCCGTCACTACACGGACTAAGTGTACAGCTGGTAAATAAATTTACTACAGTATATGGGACATACATAGTTTATACTGTAATGTAATACATACCGGCATAATACAGCGGCCTTCCACCCCACTTAGTCTTCAGATCAACAATAAAGTACAGAGCGGCTTGAATGAAGAGTGCCATGGATGACGTCACAAGGCAGTAAGAAAGTGACCACAGGTTCTTGTTGACGGGGATCACGCCGCCATTCTTGGAGAACATGCACAGAGCGCCGCCGGTGATGCCGAACACTATCGACCAGAACACCCAGCGCATAATTCGAGCCCTGTGAAAGAAAAGAGGTTTATTTAAACTGGCTTTATAATTTTGACGGGCCTGTTGGTTTATCATGCAATTTTTTTTATGGTATGAGAGCAACGGACAGTCTGATCACTTGAAGTTGGTATATTTAATGATGCCATTGTATTTATCTGTAAATTGCAAGAGTGGCCAAGAGCTTGTTTGCCCTTACTTAACATAAAGCTCATCCCCTTTGGAAACGGGCGGTTGTGGATCGGCACAGGCATATCATTGATTTTGTATTAGTATAATTTTTATAAAACTTATTTTGCTAATCTTGCTAACTATTTGAGAAAACAGAGATTGTTGCTATTATGTGTGTATTGATCTACGACTTTAGAGTAAAATATAGATATTTTGAGTTTGAGTTTGACCTGACGATGAGTAACTACCGCTGCCCTTCGAGACCTGCAACTCAAAGGTCAACTTCAACTTGTGTGTGTTTGACTTTGTGGTATAACTCAAGAATTACATGGGTCTTGTAGCCCATTGAATCCTCCTGTCAGAATCTGAGGAAGGAGGGGTTTGGGCTCCGGAAACGTCACTAAGGCGGTGAAAAGCAACGAAGAAAAGCTTAACAGTGGTATTCTGTGAGGCCATCACTCTGGGCGAACCAAGCCCGTTTGAGCCGAAGCACTCCCACGGGAAATGCCAAAAAACAGTCTAAATGAGAACCCAAACCAATCAACTTTCAGAAAGAAAGAGAGAAATGAAAAAATGAAATATATATTTTAATAATATGTGTATAAGAAATAATTATTATGTGCTTTTTATGTTATAAGGGGCAAACAAGCAGAAGGGTCACGTGATGGTAAGTGACTACCGTCGCCAATGGACATCTACCTCTCAAGAGGCACAAGTGAGTTACAATCCTTGAATTTAAGAGGAAGGAGCGTTTGGTTATTCGGCAAGCTCATTCACTGGGTGAAGTTGTAGGAAATAATTCTTTAACCCATATATGGTGAAGCATGGCTTAGCCACTGTTTACTTAAAAAAAACTTATATTTTTTCATTTTTACAAAGAGACTACTCTCTCATCAGAAATATATTATGCGTCGCAGGGGACTTTACAAACATACATCAAACGGATACAAAGTACACCCCGACTCACTAACAATCTGGGATCACACAAACTGACGTCCCATGTGGGGATCGGACCCACAACACTCAGCGTAGTAGAAAGTGGCGTGGCGACTGCTTGAACTACTACGCCATCCGTGCACTTGAATTACAAAGTACAAAAAATGAACAGTTCCGGTAATATAGCTTTAATATAAACGGAATAAAGAACGAAGACATGAATTATTGTTACTTTGACATCCATATATATATGTATATAGTATATATGTAGTAGTTACCTGGCGTGGTTGTAAGCGAGCATGATCCTAGTGGCGTGAGCGCCCGCCTGCACGACCAGCACGCCCGACAGCACGCCCAGCAGCCCCTCGGGGTCGTGCGGGAGCGTCGTGCGGTACACCTCACGGAACGTGCCGCCCTTGTACAGGTGGGACGAGCCCAGCACGTGCCTGGGGGAAAGGGCAATTTGTTTCATTTTTTTATCATGTCATCTGGTGGCTGGTGTTGGAAACAATAATGGAGTGGTTTTTAGCGTTAACACCACATTCTCTCGGGTCCTGCGTCCCCAAAGAGCCGGAGCTCTGAAGGGATTTCCCAACCCGTCAAAAAACAAAGGAAGGGTTAGCACCTACCTATCGATATACCCAGCGATGCCCCCGGTGCAGTTCTGCAGCTTGTCCCCGTGCGTGATGGACAGGTGCAGCCCTCCAGGGCCCATGTAGCCGCGCGGACACCCCGGCGCAGCCACCAGCAGCGTCGTGCACACCTGCTCACGGACAAGGATATTATTTACATATTTTAGGAGAACCGATAAATCTGTTCTGTAAGAAAGTAGGTTTGAATGAAGCCTTCACACATAGCCGTTATACATAAAAAGTTGCAAATCTAAATGTTAAAATGACAAAGATTGCTATTAAAGAGTACTTTTTCTACTACATGTATAAATGTTATTTTTAGTTGGTAAACCCTAAAAATCAATATTTCACCTACAAGCAGACAGTAGTCGTAGACTTTTTAAACATTACAAATACTGTCAACCTTTAAAATAAAATTGGCTCTCTTATCATTGTAAAACAGAGCTATTCTGTATTATCAAAGTTAGCAAAACACTTATACTGAATTCAATTTTATTTGCTACTAGCTGACCCGCGCAACTTCGTCTGCGTCACTCAACAGTAATAAATTTTCTCCGTTTTCAAAACATTCTTCATTGGTGCTCCCCTCCTATTGGTCTTAGCGTGATGATATATAGCCTATAGCCTTCCTCGATAAATGGGCTATCTAAAACTGAAAGAATTTTTCAAATCGGACCAGTAGTTCCTGAGATTAGCGCGTTCAAACAAACAAACAAACAAACAAACAAACAAACTCTTCAGCTTTATAATATTAGTATAGATTAGTATGGGTTTTATAATAATCAGATGTAACAGATACAGCTAGTTTCACCATGTTAAGCTGAATGTCACACCATGCAAAAATTAATGCAATTAATGCATGCAATAATTATAATAGAAACAAAAGAATATCTAGTTGTGTCATTGTTCTAAATAATAATACAAGTCTAAAGTTAAATAATATAAAATAAAGAAAAAAATATAATATGTCAAAATTTCTATACTGATGTATGTCAAAAGATGTAAGGTGTACATTGTTTACATCACTATACAGATTGTTATCTTCCATGTATTCTTTTACCGAATAATATGCTTTACCAACTAGAAGTAGTAAGTAAATCTTATCAGATACTAGCTGACCCGCGCAACTTCGTCTGCGTCTCTCAATAGTAATAAATTTTCTCCGTTTTTTAAACATTCTTCATTGGTGCTCCGCTCCTATTGGTCTTAGCGTGATGATATATAGCCTATAGCCTTCCTCGATAAATGGGCTATCTAACACTGAAAGAATTTTTCAAATCGGACCAATAGTTCCTGAGATTAGCGCGTTCAAACAAACAAACAAACAAACAAACAAACAAACAAACTCTTCAGCTTTATAATATTAGTATAGATTTTTACACGTCAAACTTTACAGTTAGATAAAGCCGGCATTACCTAAAACTCACTCTGGGAAGAAACGCCGAAACAAATCACAGAGATGTCTTTTTTTGTAGTCCGTAAACAAAGTTAAAAAAACTGTGCGAGTACAGTGTAGGGTCTGGGTAGACCTTTCGAAGAAAAGACCATAATTTTAAGTAGGCCTGTCCATGCAGACGGCATAAAAAAATACAGTCGAATTGTAACCTCCTCCTTTTTTTGAAGTCGGTTAAAAAGTGTAAAATATTGCTCTGTGATGTAGTAGATGTAAGATAGATATAAGAGAAACTATAAAACAATGTATTGATTCGAATTATAGTCAGTCTTGCATTCACATTCAACTGAGTATTATTTACATAGACTCCCAACGTCACAGCTCATGTTACCTGTATAGCTACAAGCACAAGGGTCGCCAACCACTGTGGCCAACCAGCAGTGATGTCACGGAACAGAGAACGACCTGTAACAAAAAAGAATTACCTAGAATTTATCGTACAAGGTATGCTTATTACAGGCCTAAAATGTGCTTTGTTTTGTCCTAGAATATTATTTTGATCTATAAATATAGTTAATCAAGACAAAACAGTTTAGTATCTTGTTCTCCTCCATTTATCAACTAGTTGTTTTTTTTTCAATTTTTTGTTTAATAGTTTCACAAGTTCTGTTCATATCAATATTAATTCTTAAAAACTATTATATTTAACACCCATATGAATGTTTTAATGTTTTACTATTACGGAATATTTCCTACAAATTAAATGAAATTAGCTTTGAGTATAATCAATTTAAAAAAAAATGAATTGTAAAACTTGGTTAAAAAATGAAAAAAAAAACACGAGAACCTAAACCAATCAATTTTCAGAAAGAAAAAGAAAGATAGCAAATATTTTTGAAGTCAGATAAAAAAAATAAAAAAGTTTTTATTACTCCTTTCCTTTAAAATAAATCTCTGTCAGGTAGACAGAGATTTCTTTTTGTTATCTATTATTTACTGAATTTTACCTCAACGACACGTTCGACGAGAGTTCGTTCGTTCGTTCGAGAGTAGTAGTGAACTGACGAGTGAAAGAGGAGAATGAAAGAAGAAACCTCATTACGCAGACCCCTAATAAATTTAGGAGAAGGGTCAGAAGATGATGATGTCTAATTTTTTACCTCTGGGCGATAACTGGTGTCACATACAATAATCATCATAATAGGAACATTTAAACTTTTGAAGTATAGCCAGTATTACCGGGTGTGATGTTCTGGCTGGTCTTCATGGCGGCACATTCGATGGCGCCCACGATGAGGTACATGGCGGCGAGCCGCTGCAGCACGCCCGGCAGCCGCACGTCCACCCACGACACGTTCGACGAGCTCAGCACCACGCCGATCAGCGACAGCGTCAGAGATCGCCGAGCCACCTGTGATCAACACGTGTTTAGCGAATCTTTGAGCAGTAGTCGGATATGATGTGAGATCTGAAATTTAAATACCAAATGAAACTGTAAAACTTGTTACACATTTCCGTCCCTTTTCACTAAATCAATCCCACATGGAAAAATCAAACTGCCGTGTGTGATGTGTCAAGTGGTTATTATTATTAATGTGCTTTAATCTGGTTGTTATGTATGTATGTATCAATAATTTATGGATAAGGGTTTTCCGTGTCCTGTAAGTTACAATACAAAATCTGCTTAATTTAGGCCAAGAGAATGCTATGTAATATGACCCATGGCGAATTGTATTATTTAGTTTTAAATTTTTCCTTTTTTTATAATATAATATATACTCGTATTTAATAAGATTTGTATACTTCTTTACCTGCTGGAGTGCAGAGATCCTGGGCAAAGATGTCCTAAGCCTGGCATTGAGAGAGAGCACAAGCGCCTCTCCCATTGCAAAGGCGAAGAACGGGAACACCACATCAGCCACAGTTAGACCATTCCACACGCTGTGGGAAAAGATTCCATATCCACCGCCGCCTGCATTCACAAAGATCTGGTGGAAGAGAGACAAAAGGCACTCATTTATAGATGCCAAATAATTTTGTGTTATATTAGAACTCGTAATAAAAAATGCATCAAAAACTTGGGGCTCCATAAAAAAGCCCCAACTTTTGATGATGAACAATGATGATACAAAAACTTGTACCCATTAAAAATGCATTTTTTTATTACCAGTTCTGTATTGGTTGTACCTTCCGCGTATTAAGTTTTATTTACTTATGAATTTACTTTCTTATTGCAAATTTCAATCTCGTCGGACACAAATATAATTTTTAAACCAGTTCCTTCGCAATTTTGATTGAGCTTCGTGACAAATATAATGTCATACTTCGGGGGCCCCCCTTGAAGTTAGGGGGCCCAAGCCACGGGTCTCGTGTGTTCCTATCATAGAAAAAGTACTGTTACCTAAATATATATTTTGAAGTATTAAGTCGAATTAGGTGTTAGGAACAAGGTGATAGTTGTTTGGCTTGATTCAGACTCGACAGTAACCCAAAACATAAGTTTTAGCGACCTGTCGTTTTCATCGGTGTCATCACCGTTGCTGCCATTTGAAAATTAGTTTCAGTCTAAATATTAATAAAAATAATAATAATATATTTATTTGCTTCAAACATGTGTAGTTTACAGGAAATGAATCCTAAACAGTTCAATTGGTTAGTTTGTGTGTATCAACATGTTTTGCCATGGACGGCGTACAAATATAAATTGATTGAGATAGTAATTAAATTAGTTTCATAAAATATAACACAATAATCATCAATACAATAATATAATAATATGGGCTAGGAATGTCAAAAATGTCAAAAATAAAATAGAATGTCAGAATTAAATGTCAAAATGAAAAAAAAAATAAAAAAACTATAATATTCCATTCCATTATATCCATATTCAACCATTATACCATATGTATAGTCGGACTAAAGCGTTCGGTAATTTTAAGATGGAAAGGCTGCATTTAAACACATAGAGGTTTTTGACTTTTTCTGAAAATAATAAATAACATGAAGAACTACAACAAACTATTTTAAGCTTACCATGAGTGCAATAGAGAATCCTCTGAATATGTCAAGGGAGCGGAGACGGGCGCGAGTTGGCGAGCGCGGTACGCTGGCTTCTGCTGTCAGCACGCGGGTCTCGGAGCCCAACTCGTTGTCCTCTCTGACAAAATAAGAGTGTATATGAACACACGTAACATTATGCCTAGTCGATGAACCTTATAAACTTTTAGCCTTTGTCAACAATTCTGGGGCAAAATTGATCGATGCCGTATTCCATGTGAATATGGCAAATTTTGTCCACATAGGTAAGATATCATTCATATAGACATCGGTAGGCTGGCATGGATATCACACCACCCACATGGGTCAGAAATTATTGGCGTGGATATCGGCAATACGGCATGGATGTTAGACCGCCTATATTAGTAAGGGACCGTCTGCATGGACATGGGTAAGTCCTCGTGAATTCCAGACCGGTTGTATAGGTAAGGGGCCGTCCCATGGATGTCGATAAGCTAGCATGGATTTGGGTAACGGTCCAGCGACACGTTATTTGTTTTTATTCATATGATTCTTAATGAAAACTAGATTTCGTAACTTTAGTCTCTCAGTCTAGTAACTCAGCTATTTAGTCGTGAAAAGATTAAACCGGGAAAATTTAATGCCTATTGCTATTAATAGTTTAGTTAAACGAGTCCAAATGAGATTTGCAAGTTATAATAACATACTATTATCAATATATGTATATTATTTGATAACTATAATTTATATGGTGTATATATTTATTTTGAAGTTTATAGTTATCATCAACTACAGTGTAACATTAGTAAATCAATATCAAATATTACTTTTATTTATTAAGTCATTTAAGATTATTTTATACATTTGATTGAATATAAAAGAATATCATTTTATGCTCTATAACAATAGCGTCTAAATCGATTATCTACCACAACTGACCGTACTAGATTCGTGGTGCGTGTTTCACACGGAAACTCGAGAAAGTTGAAAGATATCTAAACACGCCACGCATTTAAAAATATCTAACTGTTTAAATTTACTCTTAGAGTTTTATTGTCTGGAGTGTCGCACGACATAAAAACTAACACATAAGCCAACTTTCTTATGTTAGTGTGTGAGACAGATAGGTACATTTTACACTCGCTAACCGAGAGGACGACAACAGAGCTGACTTACACACAGCGACTGCGGCAGTGAACTTAGTGGCCAACAGTTGGACACTATTTTTTCCACTCTAACTATCAAGTTATTGAAGTAGGTTATAAAAAGTACATATCATTATATCATTTATTACACTTTAAAAACAGTTATTATAAACTTTTAATAATACATTTGTAAATACATGTTTTTTAAAACATACCTTGCGAAATATCTGGCGTAAATTCTGCCAGCCACTATTCTCTTTCCAATTCCCTTGATGATGTACCAAAGCGTGGCCATGGCCAGGAGTATGACGACGAGGGTCAAGATCGGCAGGTAGGCAGCGTCAGGCTCGGCCGTCATCCGGGGCGTGCACGTGTGTGTCTTCGAAACTTCAGTCGTGTTGATGATGTACTGGCCATATTCACCAAACTGGTAGGTGCCTGAAAGTTGTATTTATATCTTAGCAAATAAAACAAAGACGAGTTTGTTACCTTTATAAATCAAGAACGGCTGGATTTTATAAGTTGATTGATTTTTTGCATTTATGTCCGCCCCTGAATAGCATAATAATTATTAAAATATAGATATATTATATGAACAGCATATCATATTTGGAATACTTAAATTTATATGTATGTTATAGAAAAGAGCACAAAGCCTACTGTAACTTTTTAAACAATATGTTACATAAAAACAAACATTATGTGAAAACAGCTACATCAATCTTTAGTGGTCCAATTTATATTTTTATTCGTCATAGTACAAAGGTCAGTACAATGACAATTAAAGTTATACTGGTCATCAAGTAAAACAAGGCATTCAATCAAAATTTGAGTTTTTCTACGGTGTTGTTTTGTTAGGGTGAGGTGGTATTAAAGTATATAATATTAGCTTTTGCCAGCGATTCCGCCTGCGTGTATGTTATCGCGGTAAAAAGTAGCCTCTGTTACTCGCTAATAATGTAATTTTGCATTAGTGAAAGAATTTTTAAATCGGTTTAGTTGTTTAGACGTGAAAGAGTAACAAACAAAACTCACTTTTACATTCATTCATAATATAATTATGGACGGATACCTTGACTATATGAACTACGCATTAAGAGGAAATTAAAAAAAAAACAATTATCTTCAAAAAAGTCTGCATACGTTTAAAAAAATGCATTTTACAATTCTAATTTCGTAATATCATCGCGGTCGCAGCTGTCTTGTTTACATACGTTCTAAAAAGTTCAGTGTCGAAAATACGTTAGATGTTAGGGTGCTTCTACACGGTGTAAGTATCACCGTGTTGAAGCATCCTTATATCAATAATACATGCATGTAGTACAACAAACGCTTAGCATGTTTAAGGTCACTTTGACTATGTAATAAGTGTATATTACTTTCTAATAATAATTATAACTTGAAAACTAGGCAGAGCCCGTACTATGGTAATCAGAATGCTGTTTAACATACTTACATATGTATTAATAAATACATACATATTATAGATAAATTACACCCAGACACAGAACAAATGATCGTGCTCATCATACTATGATTTGTTCTGGGTGGGAATCGAACACAAGACCACCAGCTTGTCAGGATCAGGTTCACTAACCACTAGACTAATAGGCATATATATAGTATATATAGTTTATATATATAAATTTTACGTTGGTTTTTGTACGCTTAAAAAAATCTAAATTCTGCATCGATTGAGCTCACATTTTGACAGAAAAATAAAGGTGGATGGAATACAAAGGTGGTTTTTATCAATTTTTTTGCGTCAGTTTCATTACTCATCTCAGCTAAGCTGATCTCCGAGTAAAAAACTGTTTGTTGTGCCTCTATTTGGTGTAAAGCTACATTGCCTATCAGGAAGGAAGCCCTCAGGTAGCTTAACTAGGCGACCATTAAAAATATGCGCCATTATCTTGCCAGCAGCAGACAGCAAGGTGATGATTATGTACGAGCTACAGTTTGATTTAACTTTCGGTAACAATACGATTTAATCACATTACAGTCAACGTTCCACATTTAATACTTTACCTACAGAAATAGCTTTTATAAGATTTTTGAGGTCGAGAGTAAATCGGAACTGAATTTTGAAATTGAATGAATAAATTGAAATTTAAAGAAGAAATGCCGTTACGCTCTACTTCTTCTGCGACAATTGGTCATTTGTTTAAACTATATATTTGCAAAATACTCCCGTGCACATTGGTTTTGTATTACCGACCGCTTGAACAATTTACATAACTCGTTTTGCGAAACTTGTAACAAAACCAGTTGCATTTTATACGAATTCAAAATAAACATTGTTTGTTATTATCACTTAGTATAAGGTTCGATACTCGATGGCTAGTTGTGCAGGGATTCGTATAGTGGGTTCCGCGAATTTATTTATTATATCCATTTTAGGTAAATTACTTTAAAATAGCAGGGGGAAAAAAGAATTGTACAATCTGGACTAAGATTATGGTACCTAAGAAATACATGAGCATGAAAGATATAGAGGGGAGGGTTTTTATATTTAGGTACCTTCTAAAAATTGAATGAAGTAAGGCTCAAATAAACCAGTGGTATTGTTTCTTTAATCCCCTCTGGACAGCTCAGCAAGTGTCGGGTTGCCCCCGAATGTGGGGTCCCATAAAATTGTACAGTTTTGATAAGTATTCTATTAACTTAAAAGTTAGGAAACTCTTGCAACAGATATCATTGTTTCTGAATTCAGTTAAAGCAAAATTTGGCTGTAGTAGTTATTTCTAAAACTAATGAAAAATAAATAACCAACAGTCGCCGGTTCTGGTCCTTGTCAGTTGCCGCTGGTCTTTTTGCTACTGATAGATATTTTATAATAATAATAAAATCTCTTTATGGTACACCAGGTAGGTACATACATTACTTAATACTAAATGACTAAAGTACAAATAGCGACCTTTTCGCTCAGAGATAATCTCTTACAGGCAACCGCGGAATAGAGAGAAAGCATGATAAAAAAAGAGAAGACAATGAAAAGGTATTAGGAATTTGATAAAATAATATATTGATGAAATAATAAAAGAATAATATTGTTGGACATCTAACACCCAACGCCATCTAGTTTTAAACTAAGCTGAGCTTATACTATAAAAGCAATATATATATATAGTAGTATATACAAACTTAGCGGCTTTTTTGAACATTATACACACAAAACTGAAGCAAATATACGTGATTCATTCACCATTTTTATCGTGTGAACGCACTACACTTGAATGATTTGTTTGTTTGCAATGCTACCACTTTCACAATGCACAACTGAACACAATTGAATATTTAATTAAACATCATAATAGGCATTAATGAATTCTGACTTAGTCACATTTAAAAGAATGAAACATACCTATTTGACTATTTTAATTTCCTTTTCCAGTTTTGTGTGACCATCTTACAGGCATTTTTTAAAGTAGTGGAAATAATTTCCAATAAAGTCTCGTAATATGGTAATCAGATAATACTTTCATAATTCTAAGTGCTGAATCAATAAAGAATGTAGTTTGCGGTGCATTATTAAACGCATTATCTACGCATTTGAAAATCCTGTAGTGGATTATAAGGAAGTAAAAAAAAAGTGGCAACTGCAAAAAAGCAAAAGTTTTTACCACTCAGGACAGACGTTTGCGCTTTTTGTTTTGTTGTGGAGTTTTTTTTATTGCTTTTTCGTTCGTTTTAAGTTTCATTTGTCCCGGACTGCCTAAGGACTCTGATATTTTTCTTATTTGACCCCTGCATGCTTAAGGACTCTGATACTGATACTTTATTGAGTGCTTGTTCTGATTTACATTGGATTCCGATCTTGCCCCATCCTGTGGATCTCGTTTTAAAACTAGTTTTTTGTACCGCCAAGATGAGAGGACGTGGCAGGCCAAATCGCATTATGTGCATCAATTGCAATATATGCGTCAATACAATGCACCGATATCGATCCTTGGAACTTAAAAATAGAGTTACCCCTTTACTGTGTAGCTCGGTGTATCCCCAAATCGTAAGTAGCTCCAAATCTTGCATTGATTTGAACTTAGTCTGTTCTTAATTACGTTTCCGTATGATCAACATTATTATTCTGTATTACGTAGCTAATTATTTAAAAAAATAATTCTTGTACAAACATTTTTTTTTGACAATTTGTACATAGTATACTATTAGCTAGTGTAGCAATGTAAACATATTAACAAGCTTGTTGTTTGGCGATAATTAAATATAATAAATGTTAAAACAAAAATGATTAGTTATAAGCTATAATAGAACCTTCAAGATATTTTAAATTAATTTTCAGCAAGAACGCAGTGATGAACATCAACCTGGACCAAGTCACCGAGGCCACACTAATGTGTGTGTTTTATGTGGTTGTTTACTTATAGGACGCCAAAGTGATAAAATATCGAGAGACAACGCTTCTGAACTGCAGCAGTGATTGAGTGATGATTAATATTATTTATAAAATAAATACAAGAAGGATGTCCATGTAACATCTCATCGAACACATATTTATCTTAATTCATCAAAATTTTGTAGTATATGGAAAAATACAAAGTTATTAGTAATGTACATACTAAACTACCATTTAAATTGTTGAGGTGGTTCATTCCTAGCCAGGCTATTAGATAACCTGTGTAAGGACTACAATACTTTCCTGTTTGTTTATTGAAACATGCAATAGGGAAAAACACTATAGTAAACAGTACATGTAAACATATCCTTACACATACATATGTATGTGTAGGTATATTTAAATGCTGATGCAATTAAAATATTTTTCTTTATTTTCAGATATCAGTATCTGATATTGTATGCCATCCTTGCTGGTTACGCACACAAAGAGAAGTGCGCCGTATGGCCCATGTTGACGATACTAGATTATTACCTAGTAGCAATAATATTGCAATAGAGGAATCAACGGCGGAATCAAAAGAGTATCCTCAACCTGTGGAGACACAAAGAATAGTTTTACCAGACTATAGAGGAGTGGTATAGTAAGCCAAAACCTCCTTTCTAAGGAGAGGCCTATGTCCAGCAGTGGACTAGTATAGGCTGTTGATGATGATACAGGAGTGGCCACCTCTAATAATCATTGTGTTTTCTCTAACTGTAGTAGTAACATTCTACACCATATATCAGATAAATTGCGGGCAATTATTTTTAATAATCATCGTTATTACGTGCCTAGCCTTGCTCGGGTTTGTGCTGAACATTTAAGGAGCAATTCATGGGAGACACTATTTCAATATCATTGATACATTTACTGCTGACCAAATACAGCATGTTTTTTTCATTTGTCAATACATTTAACCCAACAATAGATTTTAAAAATGTACAAGAGATGGATAATTGAGTTTTTGAATATTGGGTGGGATTCATTAAAGAACAATTCAATGTGTTACTTGAAGAAGTACCCAGACTTGCACAAGTGAACTCAT